TTCTGAGTTCATATACAATGGCCGACAGTGTCGGAACGCAATCAAGCCGGATTCATTCAAGTCAAGATTATGATGTCACTAACAGCATGCGTGAACCATCAACCGCAAAACAAGCGTGACAATAAGGGGGGAGACGATGAATATTGGGGAGAAAAGAAAAGCTCGGGGTATTCAGCGTAGGGCCAGCCTGCGATACCGTTGACAACTGACACTGATACAAAACGGAAAAGAAGCAAACAAACCCGGGTCCACAGCGCATGAGAGCAGAACCATCGCCGGGACTATGAGCTGCTGCATGCGTACCATCATACACACCCACACACATACACCCAGGCGCACGCGCACACGTACACACGCACACACACACACACACACACACACACACACACACACACACACACACACACACACACACACACACACACACACACACACACACACACACACACACAGTATGAAGATAATTATTGGCGGGACAAGCGTGGGTGGCGTTCCTGTAGTCTGTCTGCAGCTCCTGATCACGTCACACTAACCAATACACTGGATACATGTACATGTACCAGTTGGAGATGTGCTACGATCAAGCAATGGCTTCGACACATCTTACAAAACTGTGTGCCAGCAGTCGGACAGTACAGAGAACATTGGACGCCTGCTGCATGATCCACCGGTGTGCTGTGCTCTAATGGCTACAGGACAGGGCGTCGTCACAGAGCTGAATGGCTAGGCTAGGTCAGTGAGTGGCTCTCAGCCAGAGCCCAGCCTCAATGTTCCATGGAGTACAGGTGCAGGACTGCAGGAGAGTGGCTAGGATCCGCAACTGAACAAATGTGATAAGACACACACATGTGTAGTGTTGAGCAGAGTAGTCTCTCAGTTGTAGCATAATCACAGGGCTGTGTGTGCCGGTGTACATTGTGTGCTGTTACTGCTACTGCTGCCATGCTCTTAGCCCGTCCACCTACATTGCAGTCAGCCTGTTCATATAGCAGGCCTGATCTGCCTCGTCCACCAAGTCAGCCTGATCACATAGCCAGCCCGTCCACCTAGTCAGCCTGATGACCTAGTCAGCCCGACCACCTAGTCAGCCTGATCAGCTAGAGGGTTAGCGTGTATGGTGACGCGGCGCAGGCGAATCTCCGTCTTGGGCCGGAACGTTCTCTCGTCGACCGGCACTTTCTCCAGGTCATCCAGCGTCTCCATGCCGTGAATCACCCTGCCAGGGAGAGAGAGAGAGAGAGAGAGAGAGAGAGAGAAAGAGAGAGAGAGAGAGAGAGAAAGAGAGAGAGGGCGCGCGCGCGAGAGAGAGAGAGAGAGAGAGAGAGAGAGAGAGAGAGAGAGAGAGAGAGAGAGAGAGAGAGAGAGGCGAGAGAGAGAGAGAGAGAGAGGGCGAGAGAGAGAGAGAGAGAGAGAGAGAGAGAGAGAGAGAGAACAGGAAGGGGGGGGGGGAGAAGAAAGTCCATGAGTCACTACAGAAAACGGCAGCAGAGAAAAAGCCAAAACAAAAATCACACCCGAGACAGAATAACTGAGAGAAAGGAGGACACAACAAAATCAGAAGATTTGCACACACATGCACCATATTAAAAAGCATCAAACGTTTTTGAAACGTTGAGCTATCATGACTTGTCGCTACTCTATCCCCCTTCACCCCTACAGTAAGATCGGGCGCCGAAGAACACCTCGCCGAAGAACACCCAGGCTGGAAAACCGGCAAAATTTAAGAACAGTCCAGGCTAGAATTATCAGATTTAAGAACACTAGATCTACATTGTACATGTATGGGAGGTGAGTACATGTCATGTACACGTGTAAACAGTAACTGCTACATGTACAGTCATTCCCATTTACGACACCCACTAGTTTAGAAGTACTACATTGCACTACATGTACATGTACATGTACATGTACATGACAAACGTCATGACGCCACTCGACTCGCCGCGCGCGTGTGAATAAGAACGGTCTGGCTAGAATCAAAAATTTAAGAACTTTCCTAGGCTGCGCTCGAGCCCCTGCGTTCTTCGGCGCCCGATCTTACTGTACCCCACACACACACCCTCGTGACTGGCAAGAAGGAAACTGCAGTGGCGTCCATGCTTACTTTCCAAACATTGTGTATTTGTCGTCCAAGCTGGGCTGTTTGGCGTAGGTGATGAAGAACTGGGATTGGTTGGAATCGATGCCGTTATTCGCCATAGATATCACGCCGCGGAAGGAATGCTGAATGTGAGCACAAGCAAGACGATCAGACAAGACAAAAGCCAGGCTTAGACTGTCAGACAGGGAATAAGTAACACATTCACGTCACCAGTTCATGAATCGTGTGTGTGCATGCGTGTGTGCGTGTGTGCGCGCACGCATGTGTACATGCGTATGTGTCCATGTGTGTGTGTGTGCACACGCGTGCATGTGTGAAAACAGTTTTAAAGTTCAAGTAAGATGCTGTCTTCAGTTCATGTGATTGTCTACCTGCTGCCAACAGCAAGTGCCAGTTGTATTCCCTGCAGGTTATGCCCGGTGCTCTGGACCAAGCAACTCAAGGCCCGCTCAAAGCACACAAATACAGTAAACCTGCCATGGCGACCGCTCGGAAAAGGCAGCCACCTGTCTCAAAAGACCACTGCAACCAGGACCAAGGGATGTTATTTCCAGTAAAAAATGACCCTGGATAAGGAGACCGTTGAAGGTACCTTGAGTGGTCGCCTTAGACTCTACAAGCCATTGTGCATTGCCTAATATGGAATGAATGAGAAATGCATGTGAGTACGCTGGGATCAGCAATGCACTGTTCAAAACCCTACACAACCATAGATCAGCAGTGCACTGTTCAACACCCTACACGACCATAGATCAGCAATGCACTGTTCAACACCCCACACAACCATAGATCAGCAATGCACTGTTCAACACCCTACACAACCATAGATCAGCAATGCACTGCTCAACACCCCACACAACCATAGATCAGCAATGCACTGTTCAACACCCTACACAACCATAGATCAGCAATGCACTGCTCAACACCCCACACAACCATAGATCAGCAGTGCACTGTTCAACACCCTACACAACCATAGATCAGCAATGCACTGTTCAACACCCCACACAACCATAGATCAGCAGTGCACTGTTCAACACCCTACACAACCATAGATCAGCAATGCACTGTTCAACACCCTACACGACCATAGGTCAGCAATGCACTGTTCAACACCCCACACAACCATAGATCAGCAATGCACTGTTCAACATCTTACACAACCATAGGTCAGCAATGCACTGTTCAACACCCCACACAACCATAGATCAGTAATGCACTGTTCAACACCCTACACAACCATAGATCAGCAATGCACTGTTCAACACCCTACACAACCATAGGTCAGCAATGCACTGGTCAACACCCCACACAACCATAGATCAGCAATGCACTGCTCAACACCCCACACAACCATAGGTCAGCAATGCACTGTTCAACACCCTACACAACCAGAGGTCAGCAATGCACTGTTCAACACCCCACACAACCATAGGTCAGCAATGCACTGCTCAACACCCCACACAACCATAGATCAGCAATGCACTGTTCAACACCCTACACAACCATAGATCAGCAATGCACTGTTCAACACCCTACACAACCATAGATCAGCAATGCACTGTTCAACACCCTACACAACCATAGATCAGCAATGCACTGTTCAACACCCTACACAACCATAGATCAGCAATGCACTGCTCAACACCCTACACAACCATAGATCAGCAATGCACTGTTCAACACCCTACACAACCAGAGGTCAGCAATGCACTGGTCAACACCCCACACAACCATAGATCAGCAGTGCACTGTTCAACACCCTACACAACCTTAGATCAGCAATGCACTGTTCAACACCCTACACGACCATAGGTCAGCAATGCACTGTTCAACACCCTACACAATCATAGATCAGCAATGCACTGTTCAACACCCCACACAACCATAGATCAGCAATGCACTGTTCAACACCTTACACAACCATAGGTCAGCAATGCACTGTTCAACACCCCACACAACCATAGATCAGCAATGCACTGTTCAACACCCCACACAACCATAGATCAGCAATGCACTGTTCAACACCCTACACAACCATAGATCAGCAATGCACTGTTCAACACCCCACACAACCATAGATCAGCAATGCACTGTTCAACACCCTACACAACCATAGATCAGCAATGCACTGTTCAACACCCTACACAACCATAGATCAGCAATGCACTGCTCAACACCCTACACAACCATAGATCAGCAATGCACTGTTCAACACCCTACACAACCAGAGGTCAGCAATGCACTGGTCAACACCCCACACAACCATAGATCAGCAGTGCACTGTTCAACACCCTACACAACCATAGATCAGCAATGCACTGTTCAACACCCTACACGACCATAGGTCAGCAATGCACTGTTCAACACCCTACACAATCATAGATCAGCAATGCACTGTTCAACACCCCACACGACCATAGATCAGCAATGCACTGTTCAACACCTTACACAACCATAGGTCAGCAATGCACTGTTCAACACCCTACACAACCATAGATCAGCAATGCACTGTTCAACACCCCACACAACCGTAGATCAGCAATGCACTGTTCAACACCCCACACAACCATAGATCAGCAATGCACTGTTCAACACCCTACACAACCATAGATCAGCAATGCACTGTTCAACACCCCACACAACCATAGATCAGCAATGCACTGTTCAACACCCCACACAACCATAGATCAGCAATGCACTGTTCAACACCCTACACAACCATAGATCAGCAATGCACTGTTCAACACCCTACACGACCAAAGATCAGCAATACACTGTTCAACACCCTACACAACCATGAACAGTGCATTGCTGATCTATGGTTGTGTGGGGTGTTGAACAGTGCATTGCTGATCTATGGTCGTGTAGGGTGTTGAACAGTGCACTGCTGATCTATGGTTGTGTAGGGTGTTGAACAGTGCATTGCTGATCTACACAACCATAGCTCAGCAATGCACTGTTCAACACCCTACACAACCATAGATCAGCAATGCACTGCTCAACACCCTACACGATCATGCCCCGGTGGCTATGTGGGGTGTCATGGTACAGATTACGTCATTGCCTTGCAATGGGTTTATACACACAGCATGACCTGGTGTCGTACGGCAGAGGGAGGGGATAGTGGCGGTGTGGCTTACCCTCAGCGTGTCCATCAGCTCGTCTTCAAACGCCTCGCCCCAGATCGACTGTCCGCCTTTGCCCGTGTCAGTCGGATCTCCCGTCTGCACGATGAAACCCTTGATGTTGCGATGGAACAGGCAGTCATTGTAGTAGCCACTGGCGCACAACGCCAGGAAGTTCTACACAATGCACAGATACACACACATGTACGCACACACACACACTCACACACACACACACACACACACACACACACACACACACACACACACACACACACACACACACACACACACACAGCAACAACAACAAAAACAGTAAAAATCGACAAGAAGAGCGACTGCATCCTCAACCAGTAAAGTCCTTTCACATCTTTTTCGTCGCTTGACTGCATATGGGTACACGGCATGCGAAGAGCAGAAGCACCAAGCACAGCATACCAATGTATACACGCTGACTCAACTGTGCATAGACTGTAGTACATGAAAACGATCTAGTCTAGTAGGTTGACCCCCAGTTCTTCGGCGACCAACAATACTGTAGTGGCTCAAGGTGAACATTCAACACTCAACACTCAGCACTCAGCACTCAACACTCAGCACTCAACACTCAGCACTCAGCACTCAGCACTCAACACTCAACACTCAGAACTCAGCACTCAACACTCAACACTCAATACTGAACACTCAACACTCAGCACTCAACACTCAACACTCAATACTGAACACTCAACACTCAACACTCAACACTCAATACTCAACACTCAGCACTCAACACTCAACACTCAATACTGAACACTCAACACTCAACACTCAGCTCAGTGCACAGTCCGTCCGTGTGTGCTCTTACTTCGCATGCTTTCGGCGTTTGCTCGCAATACAGCTCCAGCTTGATATCTCCAAGGTCAGTGTGCAGAGTGACGGACTGCGTCGGCACAACAAACAAAGCACCAAAACAAAACAAATCAAAAACAAAGAAAGTTGAAAGCGAGCCAAGAATACGAAGAAAGCGGAATCCACTGCCAGGTGTTCTGCAGGGTTCCCGGCAACTGAGGGACCCGGCCTGTACCACAAGGAGGATAAGGGGGTGGTGCAAAGAGGCTAAGGGGCTGGGGGTGTGCCACACGGAGGATAAGGGGGTATGCCATACGGAGGGCTGGGGGTATGCCATACGGAGGGGTGGGGGTATGCCATACGGAGGGGTGGGGTATGCCATACGGAGGGGTGGGGTGGGGGGGGGGGGGGGGCACAATGAGGGTGATGGGGTGTACCAAAGGAGAGTGTGTGTGTGTGGGGGGGGGGGGGGGGGTGCTAGCCCCCTAGTAAGGTGAAGTGCCCTTCTGAGAGAACGTATTGCACTGCTGCGAACTAGAGTCACCTTCCTGCGTGAGTGTGCAAGTGGAAGGTATGAATTGCATTCCACACACGAAGGGAAAGCACACGACAAACAAGTCAGTAGAGAGGTAGCGCACAACGAAAATTCGTAGCACCGTAACGAAACTATTCAACGAAAAAAGCTAACGAATATTCGTAAACGCATGGACCTTTTTGCAGTGGGTCGACGCGGCGGCCGCGCGGGTGCGAAGAGTCCAGACAGGGAGTTGTAAAATATCAGTATTTTAGCACTCCATGTGACGAAAACTATTTTCGTAGATCTGCTCTGTTTCGGTCGCGTTCGGACGGATATTTGAAGCAACTTTCGTTACTCCAACCCGGACGGTCAACATCTTACGAATTTTCGTTGTGCGCAACCACTCTAGTACCTGCGCAGAATGGCGGAAGACCATGGAAAGGATTTCACGTGCTGCGACTCCAGTGACAGCGGGGATTATGTGAGTTCATGGGACTGTCACTAAGCTCTCCACGGTCCATGATTGGCTGTGTGCATGGCTACCGTCACGTGACACAGGGCTATCTGGTATTACCGAGAGTATGTGAGTGCCAGAGTGTGCAAATCAGATCATGGCTTGCATGACTCACGGCTCATCAAACGTGATGTAAACTCCGCCGTCTCGAGCCCGTATGCAGAGCTGCACACTCTGGTTCACTTACGCTCGGTATTACCACCGGTAGTTTCAGAGCAAGCACAGTGTCTCCCTATCACATAAGAGCTTGTAAGGTAATGAATGATACCCATATGCAGGGGCGTCGGAGGGTAATGTTATTCTACTTTGGGGCGACTATGAAAAGGTGGGGGTCTGGAAATGTTTTAGGAAATTTGGACCCAAACAGCCCATATTTCATTGTTTCAAAATTGCAGGGTAAATTATTCGTGCAGCTTTGGTCGCATCTGCCGCTCCGGTTCCGATGCCCCCTGGCTTAGCTGCATTGCGCGTAGGACTAAGAATGACATCCATATGCCATGGTTGACCATCACCCCTCTCTCGCACTATGTGTACTGACTGGTCAGGGACCACGAGTTGAGTGAAAATTTAAAAAAAATGAAACGGAAAGAGTCGGAAACGTGCCAGAAGGATATTTTCAATTTTCAACCCTTTGTACTATTCCCTGAGTGGCCCTGTTGGAATTGCATAGCCGTAGATTATCTAATTTATCTTCAGCAATTTTCAGCAAACATGTACAGTCATAGTGATTGTGTATTGTGTACGTGAATGCTGAAATGACAATAGCAGTTTCCCTTGTCGCTCTGCACCTGAAGTATAAGCATCACACGGCACTGTGCTGCACAATACATGCTCAAGCTCTGCCCTTCGGCGTATTGGGCACACTCAATAATCCTAAATATTTCTGTGACAATAAAATCTTTATAAAATGTTACGAGAAATTTGGCTCATTCTTACCATCTTTATTCCTTGGGTGAGATTGCCAGGAATTCCACAGCGAGGACACCTTTTTTTACGCCTGCGTGCCAAGCACAGGATAACTGATCAGACGATTTCGACAGCTCTCCTCAAACAAATTCTGAATAATAGTACACAATTATCCTCGACGTCTGTGTTTGAACTGCTGGTTGCATTTTTCGAACGTTTGGATAGCGACTTGGAGATTTACCAGGGCAGGCATAGATGATTCGGAAAATACCGAAGCGAATTGTACTGCGAGTATTCCAAATCGATCAAGAGTTGGAAAAACCAGTCAGGTTTTCTGTGGTTTGTGTGGTCACCATGGCAACGCGAAATGGCGTCACGTGAAACGTGAAAACACCACAAACTTTGACAAAGGCCTTGGACTGGGAGTCGCAAAAAATGACTCTGGTCAGAATGGCTTTTTGAAAATACTCATTTCCACTGTCCAGTGACAATTTTCCTCCTTGTTTTTTTGTTGTTGTTGTTGTCCGGCCTGTGGTACGCGCTCCAACATTCCGCCTTTAGTATTATCCTTTTTAGGTGCTCGTCTAGACAACGCGAGGGTGGTTAGAGCAATTCCTAGTTGGAAACAGGTGAACACCCTGAGTCCTTTGGCGCATCGTAGAACCTGTCGGAAAATATTTCCACTCTACTAGAAATAGAAAACCCTATTGAACAGTGTACGTTTGGCTGCCAGGATGTCGGCAATGGTAGCAGATACGTTGCTGGTGGTGCTGGTGTCTATGTTCACCACGCTAGGAGCGGAGGGTAAGTGCTTGCACGCTGTACTTTAGTCTAGAATAATTTTGGGGAAGACCCCTGGCGAATGATTAGAACACAACACTAAAAAATGAAAACAATTGTATGTGTAAACGTAACCATTTGGTAGAGGAAAGATCCAAGAGTCCCTAGGAAGACACCTGGCGGTAAATACACGTCATTGAGAGACGAAGAGCTCTTTGCAGATTGGTCACCGTTTCGCAGGTACATATTTTTATAGTGGTGTGCACGGGTAGGCGGGTACCCGTGCTACCCGTGAGGACCTCGGGTAGACGGGTACAGAATAGTACCCGAAAACCCGAAGTCGCAGATGACATCATGTACAGTGCACATGTATACATTCATGTAATACTCCGCATGTCTACCCAGCAGCGGCCAGTGTGTAAGGGAAGGGGTGCATTGTGGTGTTACCACGGAAACATTACCCGATCGGGTACCCGTGCTACCCGTAGAAAACTAATCGAACCCGATACCCGAAGAAATGCTACCCGACTCAGCCGTAATTTTTTACCACCATTATGCGCGACATAAATACAGCTGTAGCGGCGTCCTAAAATTTATCTCACATTCTACTGCCTTGCGGAAAATTCTGGCTTGAATAGAAAAGCCCGCTGTTCTGAAGTAAACCTGATCTTGCGACCGGGCATGGCATACAGCTCATAAGCCAGGTGTGTGTATGCTAGTATCAGCTTTATCAGGGAGTGTAGCATGTCTACAGTACTGGCCAAAGAAATCCAACCTCATGAATAAAATAGCCATTGGCGGGTACTACGCAGCCCTAGCACTACACATACTGGTCTGTGCACTCAAACACGGCGCTACTTTATTCATGAGGTTGGATTTCTCTGGCCACCACTGTAGGACTAGGGAGATGGATATGGGCGCGTGGACCGTGAAGCAATGTAGGTCTTGCTCCAGGAAACGCTTGTTTGAAGTGCTCTTCAGGCAGAGTCGATCATGCACGCTCCTGTGTACCGTGCTTGTCTGTGCTCCGTTTGGGCTGAGCAGATGACGGCCTCAGTCGCCATTGCGTGCTTTGCGCAGCACGAATCACACGGAGCGCACCTTACAATTATAGTACTCTTCAGATCGGTGCTACTGTTTATTGAGCGCCCTAGTGGGACCCCGAGAGTGCTAAATATAGCAACTTTTCAATGAAAGAAAACGGCACTAAAATATCCAGTATGTATTTTGACTCTTTTGAGTCGGGGGCAATGTGCCCGGATGAGAGGGGGGGGGGGGGGCAATGTGCCCGGATGAGAGGGGGGGGGGGCAATGTGCCCGGATGGGGGGGGGGGGGGTATACTGTATAATACACGTACAGTGTTGCTCAATGAAATCCAGTCGCGTCACTCAAGTACGTGCCAGCCAAGCGTTGCGCAGCCCTAGACCTGCGAACACTGGGCTGCGAAATGGTGCACGGCGCAAGCTCGAGTGACGCGACTGGATTTCATTGAGCAGGACTGTAGTTGCGGGCAGTTCCCGGATTTAATGTACCCAGATAGAGGGGTTGGGGGGGGGGGGGGTTCTACTGTATACAATCCAGCACAGTTACCAGCCCAGGACATGACGCTCTGACGCTCCGACATTTTATATAGGTTAGATTTGTTCCTATAGATCAGACAGGGGCGTCGCACACGGTACGGTCACTACGGTATTGACCGTACCACTATTTGCCCCACGTACCCCGTGAATCATTAAAAATGCACTGATTTGGGCTCTAAATTTCCAAAATTTTCAACTCAGCCATCCTTCCCCACGACTAAATTGTACTTCAGATGGCTGACCGTACCACACTAAAATACCTTCCGACGTTGCCCCTGTCAGTGGAGAACAAAGTTGCTTGCTACTACATGGAGCTGACGCTTCCTGCCGAACTTGACACTCGACTAACTTGCATCTGCCATCCGGAGCACACGAGGAGCATGTCAAACCTGTCAAGTTCGGCAGAAAGGGCGAGCCCGACGTAGGACTAAGGAGTAGCCAACTTTGTTCTCCACTCACCACCAAAGTCACCACATCTAGTTTGCTAAGGGAGAACAGCCTAAAGGATTTGATTCATAATGTCTGCAGGCTTCCACTCCTTGCGAGCTCGAGTAAAAATTGAACATTTTTGGCCGGAAATTTGTCAGTTGACACAAACTGATATTGAATGCGCGTACACGTACAATTACTGACTCGCGACTGCCAAGTCAACATGTACATACGTTGTCCGTGAGCGTATGTGGATAGGAGAAGAGCGGATTACTGACCAGCGCCTCAACAATAGAAGCCCGTGGATAGCGGAAGTTGAGTTGTAATAATGGAAAGAGGTGACATAGGTGTCTAAAATAATTTATCTGCAAATAATCTTCTGAGAGAACGACATTTTTTTAAGGAAAATAGTTAAAACAGTAGTAAACACAATCATGAATGTAATCGACATTTAAGGCATGCATATAATGTTGTAAATCTTGAGGCGAGGCGATCTAAGAAGAACGACAAGGACAACGACGAGGAAACGACAGGCACCCTGGAAGACAACAACTTCCGAAGCGCCTGCCCGCACACGCAACACCAAGGAAAAGGACAACGACCAAGAAACGACAGGCACCCCGGAAGACAACAACTTCCGAAGCGCCTGCCCGCACACGCAACACCAAGGAAAAGGACAACGACAAAGAAACGACAGGCACCCCGGAAGACAACAACTTCCGAAGCGCCTGCCCGCACGCGTAACACCAAGGAAAAGGACAACGACAAAGAAACGACAGGCACCCCGAAAGACAACAACTTCCGAAGCGCCTGCCTGCACACTCAACACTTTCACACAAATACTCAAACAAAGCACAGGCATAATGGTGGACAACAAAGGGAACAGGCGAGCGCATGGCGTGGCGAAATCCGTCGAGCTGCGAGCCGTATTCTTCAAACAAAGCACAGGAATATCATTAGACACGGAAACAGGCGAACGTATGGCGAAAACCGGCGAGGTGCGAAGAATCGGTCTCAAATCAACATTTTTCAATAAGACAAACCTCAGTTGCACCACCACTCTTTGAGAGTAGAGGGCTAGTGACATCATTGGAAACAAACGGACCAAGACCCACAAGACACAAAAAAGACGCACACACAAATGATATAATCCGCAAGTTCAATAGAAAAAGAAGCGCACACACACAAGAAAAACAAACGACAACAACGCACACACAACCTGGCAAGGACGATGGCTACAAATCGGCACGAAAAACGATTAGGACAACATTAGACAGGCAATCAGGACAAGGACACCACAAGACAAACCTACGGTTGGCATGGACATAGACAGGACCACGACGAGGGAACACATGACGAGGACGACGATTGGGTGGCGGCACCGAATAGTGGCGGTATTGGGCGGTCGATGGCATTGTTGGTAACGTCAGTCGGTGTGGAGGGAGAACGTCGGCGTCGTAGTAGTGGTGTCGAGTAGGGCGTATCGGTCGTGGTCATGGTTGCGGGCGTGGTCGTAGTTGTCGGAGGTTGTGTGTATTGTGTCGTCGCGGTGGTTGATACGTTCGGATGGTGAGGCGTTGGCGGATTGCCGTGACCAGTTCCTCCACCGAGGGAGGGTGTGGCACCAAGTCGAGCTGTCGACGCGCGGCATCCAGGCGCGAGGGCCTGACGATTCCGGGCCCCGGTGGTGCTGACGGAAGCACCGGCGTCCGAGGCGACGGCGGCGATGGCGCTTGTCGCACCCAGTCGGCGAATCGTGGCGGCGACCCCCATGGGGAAATATTCCACGGCTCTAACATCGCACAGTTTGGATGGGGCGGCGGTGATTGGGGAGCATGAGCATGATCTACAAAAGGGCGAAGACCACTCATGGTCTTTTGACAGCAGGTGCCGGTCAAAAACATATTCGGTGACAGACGGAGTTTAGAGATGAAATGTGGTAGATCAAGGCGACACCAATCTCTTTTATACCCATGATCTCCTAATGGGAACTAGTATGTTCGTCGGTTGTATCTCATAATTTCGCATTTTTCTTTTCTTTTCTGGTGGTGCATCGTTCCGTTCTTCTTGCATGAACGCCTTGCACTGATGTCCATGAAGATGGAGCCATACACGTTGTAGTAAGCGCGCATGCTACCAGCCCAGCAAAAGCCAGGACAGCTGGCGTCGGTGCGTTGATGCTAGACTTCCAGCACCTGTGCGACCGCTGATAAAGCTGGCCTTCTCTCTAAGACTGGAGAAGAATGTCTTCTTGCCAAGACCTGAAAATGAGGATGCGAAATTGCAGCTGCTCAACACATAGAGTTCCTGTGCAGCATTCACCGCATGTTCTGAAGACGAAGCTACGAAACCGCAGCAGCGTAACACATCCAACGCTTGCACAGCAACCGCCGCACGTTCCCGTGGAATGGTGGGCGTTGCAGTGTTGCCAGCGATGCCTTCATCGAGGGGGTGTTCGCATGGATGTATAAGTGCTCGGGCTGCTAGGCGTTGTCCACTCTCACGCACACGTTTGCGTCAAGTCCACGGGAGACACGCCCCAGACCAGGCCAGTCCGAAAAGGTATCCGTGTCTGGGCGGCATATTGCAGCACTCCAGTGATAATGTGCTGCATGACACCGAACCCTGATGTCCGCTTCCTCGTGCTGGCAGTCTAACATACTTCCATGTGCACCGGCATCACTCTGTGGCCAAATTCCCAGGTCAAGACCACTGACGGCCAGCCAGCCAGTGGCCCGCCTGCAGGAAATGAAATGGCATTAGTTGTAAGCTGAGTTCTGCAAGGGCTGAAACGGGCAGCCCGTCTTGCATTTTCTGCAGTCCATCAAGTCATGACACTCTGTGGCTGTTGGACCAGGACATTTCAATGCCAGCGGGTGATGAGGTCACCCTGTTGGACACGGACCATTCATTGCTAGCGGGTGATGAGGTAGCAAACTTCTCGTGTACTCTCAACTCGGAATTTAAACGTGCATAACGGATATGAATGCTTTGAACTTCGAAGTGTTTTGCTGGGTCAGCTAATGACGACTTGCCTGACAATTTCGTATTTTGTTTGTATTTAAATATAAGTGGTGTGTGTGTGTGTGTGTGTGTGTGTGTGTGTGTGTGTGTGTGTGTGTGTGTGTGTGTGTGTGTGTGTGTGTGTGTGTGTGTGTGTGTGGTGGTGGTGGTGTGTGTGTGTGTGTGTGTATGTGTTGTGGTGGTGGTGGTGGTGGTGTGTGTGTGTGTGTATTGTGTTGTGATGTGATCACCCACAGCTATAATGTACATGACGGTGTACCGCACGGATGCATACAAACGTCTCAAGGTCTCACTGGACAAGCACAGTAAACAACGTAAGAACCTTGATCTGTGTCTGTGTAACTGTGTGTGTGTGTGTGTGTGTGTGTGTGTGTGTGTGTGTGTGTGTGTGTGTGTGTGTGTGTCCCATAGGGTGCAGTGGTGTGTGCAGTCGATTTCCAATCGGGAGGTTGCGGGTTCAGTTCCCGACGATTATGGTCGCACACGTCTTTCTTCTCTTTCTTATTCTCCTAGCTCTTCTTTCATTCTCCTGGGTGGTTACCAACAGCCAGTGTATGCCGGAGTACATGTATGTGGTCTGGCGTGTGTGTAAGAAAAATATGAAAAATAGGGATTCACTGGCCAGAAAAAGCCACTTCAATCAGCTGTGTGGTGGATTCCAGGCTAAAAATTAGTGGCGGTCAATTCATCAGCCTTGCAAGCTGTTGAATGGTGTAATCCCAGCACAAGTTGCTATGTCTAACATAGCTGTTCGCTATCATCGCTTCCGCGATGGGCACGTCTGTGGTCTGAGGTGCGTGTGTGATGTGTATATGCGTGTGTGATGTATATGTGTGTGTGTGTGTGTGTGTGTGTGTGTGTGTGTGTGTGTGTGTGTGTGTGTGTGTGTGTGTGTGTGTGTGTGTGTGTGTGTGTGTGTGTGTGTGTGTGTGTGTGTGTGTGTGTGTGTGTGTGTGTGTGTGTGTGTGTGTGTGTGTGTGTGTGTGTGTGTGTGTGTGTGTGTGTGTGTGTGTGTGTGTGTGTGTGTGTGTGTGTGTGTGTGTGTGTGTGTGTGTGTGTGTGTGTGTGTGTGTGTGTGTGTGTGTGTGTGTGTGTGTGTGTGTGTGTGTGTGTGTGTGTGTGTGTGTGTGTGTGTGTGTGTGTGTGTGTGTGTGTGTGTGTGTGTGTGTGTGTGTGTGTGTGTGTGTGTGTGTGTGTGTGTGTGTGTGTGTGTGTGTGTGTGTGTGTGTGTGTGTGTGTGTGTGTGTGTGTGTGTGTGTGTGTGTGTGTGTGTGTGTGTGTGTGTGTGTGTGTGTGTGTGTGTGTGTGTGTGTGTGTGTGTGATGTATATATGCGTGTGTGATGCCCGAAACTTCGAAAGTGCTGAGCTATGCATCCTGGCACCAGGCTAGGTTTGCAACTACGGTGTTACAGTGTACTTGTGGTCTGAGCTTACACTCTGATCAGCTCTCCAGAAGGACAATGTTGTCAAGTGTTGAAGAAAATTGCTACGCAACCTTTTCGAATTTCTATTCAAGTTTGACTTTGTGTAGCAAAACTGCTATGCAAACGATTGAAAGTAAATTATTCCCTGATCAGCTACATGTACTGTTGTGGACATTGAAATCCGATGGGATTACCGGGTCCGGCGTCTCATTGCTTTTAGCGTGTACATGTTCTGTAGTGTACGTACTACACACTGTACAAATGGACCAGCAGTGCTCGCGGCTGCCAGGCCAGCGTCCCGTGGCCGTTTGCTGGACTTCTCACCGGAGTTCAATGTGCACACTAGTTGAACCCCGGTGTGTTGTTGGGCATCACGGGTAGGCCATACTTGCACACACGCTGATAACCTTTGTGTCATCTTCACCTGGCTTGTTGTCATGAAATGGCACGCAAGAAACTTGAAGAAAGCCATACGCGCTCACGACCTTTCTATCATCTTCACTTGTCTTGTTGTCATGACATGGAATGCAAGAAAGCCGTACACGCTCATGACCTTTCTCTATTGTCTTCACTTGTCTTGTTTGCATGCAGTGGAGCGCAAGAAAGATGCAGCAGGAGAGCATGTACGCGGTGGTCAGAAAAAGAAGATCGGTGAGTAACAAGGCCATCCAAGGTGACCAACCGGTTTTCTTCATGTTTACTACCGCAAAGTAGCGCCAGAGCGCCCCACCATCTCGTCCTTTCGTGGCCGCCTTGTGGAGGTGGGTTCCTGTCTGTAGGTCATACGACACGGACCTTGTACAAACATTGCACATTGTGCAGTCAATCCGTACCCAGTTTACCTTCGAGCGCCACATAAAAGCATACCAAGTGTGACCTTAGTACACGAAGGTTCTCACATCGTACAAACTTAGTAGCATCCTGCCATACGATTTTCTTCCCTTGGCTGTAAAATCAAGGTGGGGCGCTCTCGCGAGACGGGGCGCTCTGGCGGTACTTTACGGTTCTTGCGAAAGGGTGGGTAGGTGGATGGTGATTGAAAAATGCTAGAGCTTTTCGGTTTGAAAAAAGAAATTTGTAATCCCGGACGGATCGTAACAAGCTGCTGCTTAGATGACCACTCGTGCGGCCTTCGAAATGTGGCCCCTGTGCACAGGTGGTCTCCTTATCCAGGGTCATTTGACTGCAAATAACAACCATTGGTCCTAGTTGCAGTGGTCCTCTGGGAGAGGTGGTCTCCTTATCCAGGGTCATTTGACTGCACATAACAACCATTGGTCCTAGTTGCAGTGGTCCTCTGGGAGAGGTGGTCTCCTTATCCAGGGTCATTTGACTGCACATAACAACCATTGGTCCTCTGGGACAGGTGGTCTCCTTATCCAGGGTCATTTGACTGGAGAAAAAAAATAACATTCCTTGCTCCTAGCTGTAGTGGTCTTCTGGGACAGGTGGTCGGTCGCCTTATCAGAGTGGTGGCCTTTGGCAGGTTTTACTGTACTCGACAGCAGTGCTGTGTCGGCGTGTTTGTCTCGGTTCTTGCAGACAGCTTGGAAGAGAGGTTGAAGAACGTGAATCGTGAAATGTCCACCGTAAGTTGTGTTCCAGTGATCCCTTTATGATCCGCACCATTTTGTGCAACGGAAATTCTGCAGGATTAGAAAATCTGAGTTTGCTATGATGTCCATGAACAGGACATTTTTGGTTACTGAAAATAAAAAAATTATGCTGGTTTATAAAGTGCTGAATTCAAGAGGGGGACTGTAGCAGGAAGGTCAGGTGTGTTGTGCTTCAAGTCAGGTGTGATTGCATTCATTCCCCCCACCCCACCCCCGCCATCTGATCTCTATGTGGGTTACATTTCCTGACCTTGATCGGGTGGCATATGCAACTCGAGGGTTTTTTTATATTCTTGACCTGCCTTCGCCATACATGTATGCATCTGTTTTGCAGCTAGAAACCGCGTTCTTTGGCATGTGTGTACGCGCACGCGTGTGTGTCTGTGTATCTGTGTGGCGTTGACAATAATTATTGTGCTTGCAGATCAAGATGTACTCCATGATTGCCATCAGCTTCACGTTCATGGCTCTGATGGGAATGTTCAATACCGTGTAAGTCAACCACATACACACACACACACCCGCGCGCACACACACATACGCAGACACACACACACATACACACACACACACCCGCGCGCACACACACATACGCAGACACACACACACACATACACACACACGCGCACACACACACACACACGCGCGCACACTCGTGCACCGCGGTGATCAATACGTTGTTTCAACTGTCTTGTGCTGCCCGTGAATCGCATCAGGCATCAAACTCGGAATCCCAACTATTTGCATGATACTTCTTCCTCCATGCATGCACACCTGTGCTTCTTCGCTTGGCTCATCCAACTCATGAAACTTTATCTGTTTGTTTTTAGTCAAACGTTCCTTGAATAGGCGGCGCGGAGACAATAGCTTTATTATAGCAATCAGCAGAATCAGCGAAGCGGACATTGGACATAGTAATCAACAAGAATTTTATATTTATTCTTGTTGATTACTACGTCCAATGTCCGCTTTGCTTATTCTGCTGATTGCTATTAAAAAAAGTTTCTTGTTGCCGCAACCGGTACGACTAGGTTCAATCGAGCAACGCCTGGCTCATGCCGCGAGTTGATCTCACCTCGCATCTGTACAACTATAATTATGTACAGTGAACACCTGTCAAGGCGACCACTCTGAAAAGGTGACTCCCTGTCACAGAAGTCCACTGCAACCGAGACCAATGGATGCCATTTTCAGTCAAATGACCCTGAATAAGGAGACCACCTGGTAGCAGAGACCACGTTTTGAAGGTCCCTTGAGCGGTCATCTTAGACAGGTTTCAGTGTATGTTGAATACATGTACATGTACAGTGAAACCTGTCTAAGGCGACCGCTCGAGGGACCTTCAAAGTGTGGTCTCTGTAACCAGGTGGTCTCCTTATCCAGGGTCATTTGACTGGAAATAGCATCCATTGGTCCTGGTTGCAGTGGTCTTTTAGGACAGGTGGTCGCCTTGACAGGTTTTACTGTACGTTCAATTGAGTAAATCCTGGCTCATGCTACGAGTTGATCTACTGGGTAGTCTCGGACATTCATAATCTCACTGTTTAGCAAAACTCCATGAACAGGTGCAGTGAATGGGATTTTCGGTCTTTGACCACTTGCTGGTATGCTGATCTACTCACCTCCCACCGCTTTAGGAGCTGCACCTGCGCCTTGATCCTTGAAGGGTGGTGGTGTTCCTACGGATGCGGAAAACTCGGCCTCTAGCCGAGTCTGACGCGAACCGTGACTTTTTTTAATGAACATGTCTGTGATCATGATTGTCATGAAGAGGATGTGTCTGTATTTGTGTTATCCACGTCTTTTTGTGTACAGCTTTGATGGTCGTGTTGTTGCAAAGCTTCCCTTTGTGCCAATCTCCTGGTTTCACGGCCTGTCGCATCGTAACCTGATGGGCGAGGACTTCACCGACTGCTCGTTTATTTTCCTCTACATTATCTGCACCATGAGCATACGACAGGTCAGCCAATGTGTGTGTGTGTGTGTCGGGGTGGGTGCGCGGGTGGGCATGTGTGTGGGCGTGTGTGTGTGTACGCATGGATGTGTATTTGTACATGTATGTGGGTGGGTGTAAGGAGGGGGGGGGGGGGGGGGGCAACAAGTGACGAAGACCTGGCATAATTGATTGATTGGTTTATTTGTTTGTTTTTGTTTAGCAGCCCCGTGTTCAGTACTAGTATAGTATTATGTAGCAATATGTGATGGTGATATTTAATAGTTGACTGCAATTGTCACTGTGTTTTCCCCTCTTTAGATCCTTCTTTGGTGCTGTGTGCTCCCTTTTCTATTTTTGGCGATGTGTGTTTGATTTCTGCTGCTTGTTTTCTTGTTGTGCGTTGGTTACAGAATTTACAAAAGCTGCTCGGAGTCGCGCCGTCTCGTGCGGCAAACAAGCTGGGAGGCAGCATGTTTTCTCCACCGCCATCCAAGTAGATTCCCTTCTCTGTCTCTTTCTCTCTCTCTCTCTCTCTCTCTCTCTCTCTCTCTCTCTCTCTCTCTCTTGCTCTTTGTCTGTCTGTCTGTCTCTCTCTCTCTCTCTCTCTCTCTCTCTCTCTCTCTCTCTCTCTCTCTCTCTCTCTCTCTCTCTCTCTCTCTCTCTCTCTCTCTCTCTCTCTCTCTCTCTCTCCACCACCATGCAGTGTTTGCAGATGCCGGGCAAGCCCAGTGTTGTACGCTGGCTAATGTGTCGGCATGTTGTCTGCCTCGACTTGCACGGGATGACACTCTGCGTCTCCTCGCTCTAACGCATCTCATTGAATAGTTCAGTTAACCTATTCTCAGGCAAAGGTACCATGGTTTGCAGTTTGTATGGCTGTGCACACCTCATTGTCAAATTGCTGCTCTGTCCTTCTGCTACATAGCAGAGGCCACATTGGCATCAAACCAATCTAGGGCAATAGTGTATAAGTACTTGCTACAATGGCCGATTGTTACTGCTGGTCATCGCGGACGGGTATTGGTATGCCTGCTTCTCTGACATGAACATTTCAGATCTGTCTTGTTTGTTTTTAGATTAATTTTATTTATGAAAGCGCATTGCTGCACGTTGTATTGCAGAACTGGTCGCTGGTTTTCGCAACGTTGCGTAACCCCAGAGCTTGGCGTCCCAGCTGTGTGTGTGTGTGTGGGGGAGGGGGGGGGGGTATGTGTGGGTGGGTGTGGGGTGTGTATGTGCACCGGACTCCACACAGCGCCATTGCTGCCCAGGGAGTAGGTATTTTACTACTCCCGTTTGCTGCTGGAGGCTGCGAAGGGCAAGAGTAGGGAATGTCATATCAGCCATCAGATCGTGTCACTATTCAGAGGTAGGAAAGAAGCACACTTTCGAGATGGCTTCCTCCCCTCGGTGGAGTAAGACATCATAGGGGGCCTCGCAGACTATAGTTGTTAGTTCTGGCTTATCAATACAATAGGGTCAAGAATACATAAACCGGAGTGTGCAACTCGGGATGGTTCCTGTGGGAGCGTAATTCGTGCAGTACATCATTTCTGACGGCATGGTAAGCCACAGGTACGGTGAGCAGTTGTGTATTGTGTAGTCACCGTGGTGCAGGTCACTGAGTTTGTCCTGATTTCGGTTTTTTCATGCGGATAGCCTGGTGAATTTACTTGCCAGCGGATGTACGCAGCGCACGCAGTCACAGTGTCACACAAAAGCACCGAAATCCTAAAACAGGACATCTAAAATCATGCAAACTATTACAGTCGTCCCTCTCTAATCCGGCACTTTATAATCCAGCACCCTCGATAAACCAGCACAATTTTCAGTAGCCAAAATGTCCTCTTCATGTACATTGCAGCAGTAAATCAGATTTGTTAATCCAGCACCCTCCCTAATCCAGCAGATTTTCGTGGCACAAATGGTGCCGGATTATAGAGGGACCACTGTACTTGGCAGATTTCCGAGCTGTGAAACACGGAAATTTGAGCTGTATGCAAGTCGCGACTTGGCTGACCTACCTCATCAGGGTGACGCAGTGCACGAACTGCGCTGTTTCAGATCTGATATAAATATGCACAGTTGCACACTCTGGTTTATGTACTCTTGATAGGGTGAAGCGCTGATTTCCCAGGGACCTTCCAAAGGTGGTCTCCTTATCCAGGTTCATTTGGCTGGAAATAGCGTTCCTTGGTACATGGTCCTGGTTTCAGTGGTCTTCTACGACAGGTGGTCGCCTTTTCAGAGTGGTTTCCTTGACAGGTTTGGCTGTACATGATTGTATAGCCTAGTCCATGGACATGTCTGGTCCTGCAAGTGCCATAAAATTGGCCAATTCGTAATTCCGCTGGGATAGCACTGGTGCAGGAGTGCTACATTCTCCGCGGAGGCAAGTGGTGAAATTGGGCAACATTGAAAGCTTGAAACACTACACAATCGTGTCTCAGCATTAGGTGCAGCTGCACTCGGTGATATCCGAACCAGAGTGCACATTTGCCCGCGTCTCGACGCCCTGGAAGCGGTGCGAATCAGGGAGTGCGTTCTACATATAGTTCACCCTGGCCTGGTGCGAATGCTGCTGGACGTAGTACATGTGTACTTCCAAGTACATGTACCAACACAGTCAGTGGGGTACTTGGAACCTGTTCAGACCACTGACCGTGCCCTTTGGGGCAGATTTCACATAGCCCAAATGTAGGTTTACATTCACACCGAGGACGTTACTCAATCAGGATGTTTTAAAGGTTGAAATGTAATATTTCACGTCATGGCATGCATGATTCATAGCATGCTAGCCCGCGCACATGTTGAGAGATAAAATAATATCAAAATACTATACAAATAGAACGGAGCAAAAATTACTAAATTCTAGCAAAACTGCACATAAAAGGCAGCTGGTCGGCAAAGAAATCATTTAAATCTATGTACATATTTACAGGCTGGTGTAAGCACCAGAAAATTCGAATCCTAACCGAGCAAGCTATCTCCTCGGGATGCGGTGACTTTTACTTCTTCTTCTTCTTGCCTCCTTTGTTTGACTTCCCGCCGCCACTGCTACCTCCGCTGGATGCTGCTGCCGCGGTGCCAGGGTCTACACCAGCGCTAGCAGCTGCTCCTCCGGCCGCTGCTGCGCTTGCGCCGTGAGTGTGGCGCGACTTGAGGCGGGGAATCATGTCGCCGAGGTACAGCAGGATCTGCTTTCCTAGAGATGTGAGAGAGAGAGAGAGAGAGAGAGAGAGAGAGAGAGAGAGAGAGAGAGAGAGAGAGAGAGAGAGAGACAGAGAGAGAGAGAGAGACAGACATAGAGAGAGAGAGAGAGAGAGAGAGAGAGAGAGAGAGAGAGAGAGAGAGAGAGAGAGAGAGAGCATGCGCAGGCGGCGGGATTCGAGACGAATAGCAAACACACAGCAAGCAAGCGACCCAGACGTGCACGTGCACCGCCATGCAGGCACACATATACACACGCACACACACACGCATGCGCGCGCACACACACACACCCACACACACAAAAAACGTCATATTACAGTCAAGCAGTGGACAGAAAGGCTATAGGGTGGTAAGATGTAACACAGAGTTTTTGATGCATGACAACCGTGCAATCATTAGACAAAATGATAATGGTGGGTATGCCGGTAAGCAAGTGCTTGGGTTTGACGCTGCATCCAGCGTCAAACTTGACGTCGTGTGACCGAAGCGGTGTTGAGTAACTGTTCCGCTACACATTGCTGCTTGGCGTACGTGGGTACGAACACGTTGAAATGTGAACCACGCTGATACGCCAGTGAACACTTTGTTGATACGGCCACGCATAAACACGCACACACACGCACACACACGCACACACACACACACACACACACACACACACACACACACACACACACACAAGTACGTACTTGTCTGGAGTTCTGCATGACACGGCGTTCCGTCGGATTTCTTCAGCTGCACACGGATACGGCCAAGCTTTGCAGGGTCCATCGTCCAATCTCTCGTGTAACGTTTTGTTTCCTGGTCAACGGAACACGCAGATATGCACGCACACACACACACACACACACACACACACACACACACACACACACACACACACACACACACACACACACACACACACACACACCACACACAAGTAAGTACCGGAACAGCTTACATCTCCTACAGCTTACATCTCCTACACGTACTTCACACAGATAGACATATTTTTAAACATGTTGAGTGCAGAGAATCAAGCGTCACGGTGTGCGCACAGTTTCCTTAATCTAACTTAGCATACGGTAGGGAGAGACTGGCCAAAGGTTTACGCCATACGGAAATGCATTGTGGAAAGGAGAACGAAAAGTAGATCAGAGGACGACAAGAACCCGCACCAAAAAAAAGGACGCCTTTTCTGTGCCCACAGAGTGCAATGGGGATATTGTTCAGAGTTCACAGCTCCCTTGCAGGAGATCGAGGGTATGGCCTTGTGTTCCAGTAACAGACTGACAGCCCACAGCTCCCTTGCAGGAGACCGAGGATATGGCCTTGTGTTCCAGTAACAGACCGAAAGACCACAGTCCCCTTGCAGGGGAGGGGTATGAGCTTGTGGTGCTATAACCGATTGGCAGACCACAGTTGAGTTTGAGGGGATTGAGGGTATGGGTTTGTGTGCCAGTAACAGACTGATAGCCCACAGTTCCCTTGCAGGAGATCGAGGGTATGGGCGTGTGTTCCAATTACAGACTGACAGCCCACAGCATTTGCAGGGGAAGGTAGAAGCTTGTGCTGGTATTAACGATTGGCAGACCACAGTTGAGTGTGAGGGGATCGATGGTATGGGCTTGTGGTGCTAGAGCCAAGTGACTGGTGTGCAGTCATCAAGACTTACCTCAACGGCACAGGTAAGTCCTTTGTTTGTACAGACATTGTAGATTTCTTGAACAGTGGGTTCATGTACAGCCTGATGCACAACAACAGATACATAGAAATAGATAGACAGACACAGAGAGAGAGAGAGAGAGAGAGAGGAGAGAGAGAGAGAGAGAGAGAGAGAGAGAGAGAGAGAGAGAGAGAGAGAGAGAGAGAGAGAGAGAGAGAGAGAGAGAGAGAGAGAGAGAGAGAGAGAGAGAGAGAGAGACACACACACACACAGACACACACACACACACGGTGAGTCGTTATCGCATGCAAAAAGACAAGGAAACAGATAAACAAAGTCACCAACGCTCACAGCATCCAAAGCATAAAGAATTTAGAACCCGTCTCACTGTACCGCACAGTATGTATTGAACCAACTTCAGGTTCTCACCCCCCCCCCCCCCCACGCACACATGCACTCATGCACGTACACACGCATGTGCGTCCACACACACACACACACACAAATTATGTAGAAGCGAACTTACTTTTCTTTCGCAATTCGCCTGCCTTCAGCCACGGTCTTTCGACTATTCAAGTATGCAGGATAGATACATACCCATCTGGATATGCATAAACACACAAACACAAACACACGCGCGCATCATCAACCAGGTGCTATAATATATACGCCCGTCACAAGAGAAGCACGCCAACCTGCAAGTGCGCTGAATGTGCATACGGTGGTCTTCTCTCATAGCAACGATGGTGGACAAGATTAGAGCGAAACAGAGCGAGACATACTGAGTAACTCTAAACACACAGAGAGCTTTAGCCTCTACGCACACGGACACGTGAAACACATATCCACCATCTTACTTATTATCTTGTCCCCGGGGGAAATCGCGATTCCGCGGCCGCGTTTTTCCCCGGGGACAGATTATCTCGTTTATCCAGGCGGTCCGCGGCCGGGCACCGCCAGTAACTCCGGAATGTCCGTATAAACTCCGAATCACATTCATTGTGATGGGGAAAGGCCATAGATATGGCGTACATCATTATTTTCATAAGGAAGGACCAAGAAGTAGTAATAACATCCACTGAAACTCGCCCAAAGGGTGCCCGTAAAATCGGTGTCCGGATAACCAAGGTCTGAATGTCGTTTGTTTTCGACCCATTGGTGCCTGACTGCGCATACGCTGTGCACACCATGTGCACGGTCGCGTAGATCCAAACTTGAATTCTTCAAATGCAACCCCACTACCCTTCTCTAGAGCTATCGATAGGCCAGCTACTAAGGGGTCGTCGCAAAAGTTTTTTGTCGTCCCTGAAATGAACATGATTCGTTTGGGGGGGGGGGGGGGGGGGGGGAGCGAGCCAAAATCGCAAGTCGACCGACACTGTATCTACAACATGTGCATGCATGCGATTTTCGTCGCCCAGCCTAGCAAGCTGTGTTTGTTTCACAGGGAGGGGAGGGGGTCCGAGGAGTACGAAATGAACGATGTTCGTTTCAGGGACGACAGACTTTTGCGACGACCCCTAATGGGTCTCGGTAAACACAATCAGGCACCTGAGATGTACGAGACCGCCTCTGCGAGAAATGTTAGTATGCGCCGCCAGCATACCGGTAGGTGGGAATCATCGACCTACCGGCACCAAAGGGGTACATACGAAACAGGGGCAAGAGCGCTCATGCAGCTTAACTAAGTCACTATTAAAGTCGCCAAAAGACAACATAGTGACTGCCAAAGCAGAGATTAGATAAAGCGGCCTTGCACGTCACGACAGGTTGAGTTTTTCTTCTGTTGCAAAGTCGCGTAGCAAGCAAGTCCTTTCCAAAGATCGGGCTTGCTGACGGCTCGTGTTCCAGAGTGACTATCTTCATCTGCCGTCCAAGTTACTTTTCTAAGGATTTGCAAACTCCGTCGCAACCAATTAATTGCACATTGCTTTCCTCAGTCAAAACACTTGCACAGTCATGTTCTCGATGCAAGCGCCATTCTAGATCCACTAAATCTCGGCCATAGCCTACCCTCAGGGGGACACAGTGAACACTTCTACTGTTTAAGGTGGTTTACTGTTCCATCCTGGTGATGAGTTACGCTTGAAAACTCGGCGAATCTTCATGCAGAATGACGTTTGCAGCAAAGAGATCATGTTTGAGCGTTTGAACTGAGCAATGCCGATGGAGTGTCATTACATCCATTCTCCGCAGCATGCACGATGGCGTACGCATTCATATCGTTGTCTGGATAGATTTCAGTCCATTGTCAACAGACTTCAGTACTTAACAAGTCCTCATGAACATGACGTTGTGTACAATGTCAATGTCATGTTTCGTGATACTTCAGCTGCACGCTTTCTAGTCATGTAAAGTAAGTTTGAGATTATCAAACGTACGTGCAATACGTACGAGGTCGTTTGTGAAGTGTGCTAGATGTGTTCGGATAGCTCCTAGCCGTGCCTAAACCTATGAACGACTACCCAGATTAATCAACAGGACATACGCTAGTCTGCAGGCATTGCACAGCTGGGCATTATTTGAACACACAAAGAAAAAACTTTTGAAAACGAAATTGCTCAGCCGGTTCATACCTGTCTTTCGATGCTGGATCGGAGGATAAATGCGCTGTGGGGGCGGCAGAAGCCGATGCCATTGCTAACTGTATCTGATACTCTTGTCAATTGGTCACTCAGGTGTAGAAAGCTCTATTCCCTGACAAGTAATTTTGTTCTCCAGAACTTGTAGAAGTAGTTTCTTCCAAAAAATTATTGGCCTTGTCATCTTGACTGTGAGGCGAATGCCACTGCGCTCGCCAAACTCCGCTCGACCTCCTCGAGACCACTCATCGAATGCACCACATGCACATGCGTCTCGGAGCAGACTCGCATGCCGGAACGCGCCTGCTCACTTGTACGTCATCGTGTAGCGACTTCAACAACACTTCAACAGTTCAAGGCGACTTGTCATGTCTGACAATCTTGCCACCTTTGAATCCCGTCAGAAAATCATAACCATTGATAACTGCTCAGTTGTTTACCCGTAGTCTACCGTTGACAGTCACTTTGTGTGCGTCGTTCTTCTTTGTCGCATCGGTGAAGAAAGCAGTTTCAGCCATGGCTACCACTATGCGAGCTGTTCGTGCGCATATTCCTCTGATACAATTCCGGGCTGGACTCTCAACTCGGAGAAAAGATACTGCCCCAGCATCAGCGTCAGGTGAGTTTGAAACATTTTCTGTTTTCAAAAAAATTCCAAGTGTTTGTACAGTAGTACTCACCCCAACCATGTATTGTTTAGTACAGTAAATTGATGTTGTGTTCCGTCATGTTTTGTGATGGTGCGAAGTTCTTTCTCTCCTTCTACTTGATTTTTCTTGATGACTTGTCCCCCTTGATTCTTGATGCTTTCCTTGTTTGGAAAAAAATTCTCGCTTCTTAGCCATCTGCACGCACTTCATGCATCGCTTGACCTTCCACGCATTGATGATACTATTGCGTAATTCGATGAATGGCGAATATTGTGGTTGTGATCTTCTGATGTCGGGGACTTATTTTGTGGATGTGTCGGCGCTATTTGAGGGGTCTTTGTCGAAATAATTATGCGAGTGATTTAAAAAAATACGCTCGCAGGCTCTTTTAAAACTGGCCTTGATGTAGGTACCAGTGCCTTTGGGTTACTAGTATTCGTGTATTCGATAATAATTTTTCAAAAAACCGTCCAGCTCAGTAGTGCTCAGTGCTGTGAGCGGAATAGTCCCGCATTGAACTAAGCCCATTATAAAAATTACGGAAGTGTTACACCCAATGGATTAGTGGCATAGTGGTTACGCCGTATCACTGGCATAGAGGTTATGTGCACGCTTGGCTGTACTAATTTCACTTGGCAGCTGTTCATTGCAGTGTCTGTAGGTTTCGTGTTTCTGAGCAGCTGTTGAGCAAGGGTCATGCACGACATTTGTGTGCACGTACTAGGACGATTCAAACACCATTGACATTGTCTTTGGGTTATCCGTTTGTTCAATATGGAATCCGCGAGTACTTAGAAAAATCCAATACTAAACGAGAGAGCTTGGAAGCTCAGGGCCCTACGCTATGCTTTTTTGCCTAGCTAGCTCATCATGCATGTTATTAGAACTGATGGAAATGTTTTTGTTCCATTGATTGGCTACATCAAACTTTCTCTTTGCATTCGAGGGTAATACGACACCATCTACCACCTAATGGCCTAGGCAAAAAAAGCATTATTATTATTTTGCTTGTTCGCGTTGGCATCAACCTGCATAAAGCACGTATATAGCCTTCGCTTAAGCTGCCATAAAAAAGAAAGCTCATCCTAAGCGAGAGGGCTAGAGGGAAATATAACGATTACGAGATACAGAATACAAAGAAATCCAATGAGTTCAACATACAATTCAAAACAAGAAAGAAAGGAAAGAAAGCCGAATCCACCGATTGATCCATCAATCGACAAAGGGGACTAATCCGTTAATGTTGCAAAGTAGAAGCTGATTGTAGTTGCAGATCTGCAGGCCAGGGCCAGCATATTGCCGATTCTGGATAGGTCTCTGCAGCATTTGATGTGGTGATTATCATAATTGTTGATAAAATTGTTAGAGTATCTAGTGTAAATGTATCCGTTATTATTGTTAAGGGTATCTAGTGTAATTGTATAACTTCAGCCATTACACACAGCACACATTAGTTCCTTCCACTTTCGACGATCCTGGGCGAGCTGCCTCAGTGCAACTAGATCCTCGTGTGATGTGAGGGAGTTTGTGGATCTGGAATTTTTCGGGTCGTTGATGGATCGCGGGAGGGTTGTTCTCGGGCGGCCTCGGAACCCTGAGCTTCCTGGCTGAAAGTATACTGACATAGCCTGCTGGACCGGGGATGAATAGGGATGTTATAAATTTTTCATTTCTCCTACTTTTTTTTCAAGACATAACCTGGGATTCGAACCCGCACTATCGCCCTGCATGCATCCCCCGATACACTTCGCATACATACTCATTCTTCCAAGTTGCTTCACGTTATGATCTTGCATTTGAAAGCCCTATTTGAATATTGTGGGCAGCTGTTTGTGGCCAGCTGTCTTTGATGGTACAGTACGGGACAGGTACGGGATAGCGCCAGGCATGCGGATGGCACAACAAACACGGAATTAAAGCTGTGTGGACCCTGGCTAGCGCCAGACGTTAGTATAAAGTCTTTTGCATAGCTACGGGAATAAATAGCTGAGATGGTTAGAGCAGTGCTCATGACAAGCCGTGTTCGAGTTCTGGTGATCCGAGTTCTTTCTTTTCACATTCGTCAATGGAATCTCGTGACTGGAAGAAAATGGATGACCAACAATAGGATGTAATACGCTTCTAATAGGTGAAAGTTTACAGTATGCTGTGTGTGTGTGTATTTGTTTCTTACGTATTGTTTCAATTAGCTTCGTCACCAACGGCGACAGCTAGCAAGCCCACTGCACCGCGGTTTCCCACCATCACCATCCCAAACTACCCGAGCAGTCTGTCCAACGAAAGATTACGCCGGTCGCTACCGTCCGAGGAGGAGATCGAGGCTGTCAATGTAAGCTTAGAGATTTTTTGAAGAGTGATGATGTACACAGGGCCCTGAAGACGTTTACTGTCGTGGGTGTGATTGATGGGTGGGTGGGGGGGGGGGGGGGGGGTGATGGGGGGGTGTGATATGGGGGGGGGGGGGGTTGATGGGTGTGGGGGGGGGGGGGGGTGATCAAGAGTACATACCCCCCCCCCCCCCCCCCCCCACCACCACCACCAAGAGTGTGCAACTCGACTATGGGTGCTGTCCCGACAGAATTTCAAGTTGACGTCATTTTTATGATCCAATGCGCACTGTACTGTACACGGATTAGACGAATCCGGAACCTATGATGGACCAAAGCCCATCTGATTCTGTACAAATTACTGCAAAGAAAAACTTGTGATGCGTTGACACCCGCTGGTGCAAGGAGCATCGCATCATAAATAATGACATCAACTTGAAATTCTGTCGGGACCGCAGGGTGTGTGGGAGTTGCACACTCTTGGGAGGTTATGTAGTAGTGTATGTACTCTTGGCGTGATGGGTGTGTGTGTGTGTGTGTGTGTGTATTAATCAGCCTTGCAAGCTGTTAAATGGTGCAATCCCAGCACAAGTTGCTATGTCTAACATAGCTGTTCGCTATCATTGCTTCCGCGATGGGCAGGTCTGAGGTGTGTGTATGTGTGGTAAGTGATGGGTGTGTGTGTGTGGTGTAGACCAGGCTGAATAGTGACGGTCAATTCTTCAGCCTTGCAAGCTGTTGAATGGTGCAATCCCAGCACAAGTTGCTATGGCTTCTGCCGTAGCATTGCTATCATCGCCTCCGGCGATGGGCGTCAAAGGTGTGTGTGTGTGTGTGTGTGTGTGTGTGTGTGTGTGTGTGTGTGTGTGTGTGTGTGTGTGTGTGGTAAGTGATGGGTGTGTGATAGGTGTGTGTGTGTGTGTGTGTGTGTAAGTGATGGGTGTGTGTGTGATGTGATGGGTGGTAAGTGATGGGTGTGTGTGTCGTAAGTACATAAAGTAATGTGTGATGGGTGCGGGTGTGGTAAGAGATGGGTGCGGGTGGGTGTGATGGGTTTAAGACTTTTAAGTCTTACCCCATCACACACACGCACACCCATCTCCTAGAAAAGAGTACAATAGAGCTAATGTCTGCACGGTGTGTGTGGGTGGGTGTGGGTGTGTTGCTTTGCCTTGTCTATGTGCTCACTGTCCTTCTCTAGATGGGTGTTGCGTTATGAAGATTGTAGCCGGGTTTGCTGCACCGGGTAACGAATCGTTCCGTCAAGCCGCCGCTGCCCCTTCGCTGGTTTCAATGTTTCCTGGAAACAAGTACCAAAGTATTCCTAACAGTATGGTATGTGAGCTGGTCCATCGTCATCTTGCTATTACTGTGCTGTTGGTCTATGAGGAGATGCTTCGGATACTCATGGAAAACTTGACGTGTTCCCTACTCGACTCCAGTGTTACGGGTTGGTTGGCGAGCGCAAAGTCTTTTCGCTTGAGCATCGCCCGCAGTGTCGCCCCGGCCGTGTTGGTCGCGGCCGCTGCTGTCTGAGCTCCTGCTGCTGCTGCTTGCGCAGCTGATAACAATGCTGAGCGCTCGTGTGTGTGTGTTTGTGTGTGCATGTGTGTGTGTGTGTGTGTGTGTGCTGAGTAAGAGAGTCCAGGTGTGCTGTGAGTTGCGTGAGCACGTTGGGTTTTTTTGCTGCTATTTATACCACCGCCGTGTTTTGGGTCCTCCTGATCTTACCGCTACGTTAGCGTTCTGCCTGATAAATACCTGCCTATCTCTTTGCCGTCTTCTCCCCATTCCACTAGCCAGGCGTGTGTTGTAGTACAGCAGGCTAACGTGCACGCGCTGTCTTTACCGGTATTGACCCATGTCCTCACTCCTCACTGTCCTCTGAGATGTTGATACCACAGATACAGTTGCGCTCGGTGACATCCGACACAGAGTGCAAAGCTGGCACCCTGGACCAGTTCCGATTGCGTCATTGCATCTGTACGTCGAGCCGCATTCGTGCCACTTCCATGGCGTCAAGGGCGTGCTAGTTGAGTGCGCCAACAAGGCACTCCGAGTCGGATTTCATCGAGCGCAACTAGCTGTACAAATACCAAGAGAGTGCAACTCGACAATCCCTCAGGCCATGGCGGATTTTTTTTATGACATCAATCTATCGCCGCTATTTGACTGACTGATGCGACCATGCGTAGCCAGAGATCAAAGTACAACTAATTTGTACATCGGAGCTACGGTAGTCAAAGCCCAACACGCTATAATTGTACCGGTAGATCCATGTTTCCTGACTATAATTATTGTAGTGAGCCTGTTTTTAGACTCACACCGTATCTCTGGGGGAGAGCACATGCACTTGATCATACTCCTGGCAAAGAATGACGCAATGAGAATTTTCCACCGTGTGTGAACTAACTTATCGCAGTTCGAGATAGGAGTTGCACACTCTTGGTTTATGTACTTTTGTAAATTAGTACTGTCTGTGTACATAGTAGTACTCTTGCTAGTCTTGCTACTGTCTGATTATACCAAAGGTGGCAGATGTAGTGCCCAGTGTCTTCTCCAGAGCCGGGTCAGCGACCCGGTGGGGGGGGGGGGGGGGACCTGTTTGGAAAAAGACACCGGGTCATTTGTGACGCGCTTGTGAATAAATCTCAGTGGCCAAAAATCCGGGTGCTGTCTATAGGCTACTTGTAGAACATAGGGTAGTTGCTCCTGCATGGAACACACGCTTCCTGCCCATCTTGACGCGTGAACGACTCACGACTGCCATCCGTAGGACGCAATAAGCCCATCGCACCTTCCACGCGGCAAACCTGCAAGAGAACACCGCGCTCTGGCTCCCTACTCCATACACAGTGGTTCACCTCTCATCATCGAGCTTGAGCAGGCAGAGGAAGATTGTGCCTTTTTAAGTTTTTTTTTATGGATGGACTCAAAATGAACACATCCCATGCATAGCACCACAAGACCCACCAGTACCTCTCCTGGCATAATGTATACCGTCAAGAGTACATAAAGGAGCTCTCTAAACCTCACCACCACTGCCACGATTCAGGTTGTGTGTGCTTCCCCTAGCTGCAGCTCATGTTTGGCATTTTTAGTGGTCTTTGTAAAAAAAACAAAAACCGGGGTTTATATTTATTAATTTTACTCTTGTTACCGGTATGGCCAGTAGCATCCTCATGTTGCAGCCTGATGATAGTGTAAGCATGAAACTCAGAGTAGCGACCCACTAGCCTTGCTGGCCATTGTTGTTCTGTGAATGGAGTGTAAAGAATCAACTAGAGACTTGCTACTACAGTTGCGCTCGGTGAAATCCGACCCGTAGTGCAAAGCTGGCACCCTGGACCAGTTCCGATTACATCATTGTATGTGTACATGTGTACGTCCAGCCGCATTCGTGCCACTTCCAGGGCGTCAAGGGCCGTGCAAGCCGAGGACTCCAAATATGCACTCCGGGTCGGATTTCACCGAGCGCAACTGCAGTAACGGTCAGACTGACAGCAGAGGTTTCGGACAGACTGATAAAGCCTCTTGTACAGGCAAAACGAATTGCACAGATAGTCTAATACAAGTACTACTAGCCTGGGATAGATCCAGGATGCAGAGCACACACACACACACGTGGACACGCGAGTTGAAGAACAGATCGTAGACGGTAGTCCTCGTGCCATGCTGCACGGTGACGGGGTTGGTATTGCAGGACATGAGACGGACAACAAAACAATGGACAACAACACGACAAGAAATGGACAACAAGACAAACACCAGTAATCTGGCGATAAATAGTATAAGCGAATCGGAACATCAATTTGAACATACATGTATTCCCATTGATCATTTCGTAATGTCCGCTTCGCTTATACTATTTATCGCCTAAGATTTCATGTACGGTATAACGAGACTTCCCCGAATATAACAGTCAGGGTGCGTTCTAGTTATTGTCTCCTCGTCGCTTTGGACATGTCCAGGTGCTAGAAGAGCGCAACGTTATCTGATACGCGCTTCTTCCGTGTGCCCTCCTTTCGCCGACCGCCGCTTGCCTTCCCGTCCTTGCGCTGATTTCTGCGCGTTTGCTTGTGCTGCCGCCTGGCCGCCTCGTCTCGCACACGCTGGCGTATCGTGCTCTCGGCAATCTGGCCGCGCGGCTTGGCCAGGTGGACCACGGTCGGTTTGGGCTCGCGTTTCGGCCAATCGCGGTGAGGACGATACGCGTGGTTGTCGACCGCTTCCATGTCTTCATCATCCTCCTCGTCGTCGTCGTCATCGTCTTCTTCGCCGTCAGACGCACTGGTGGTGTTGTTGTGATCGCTATGCTCTTCTCCAGTGAGTGATGAGGTCGCAGACGTTGACTCACCACGCGTGCGCACACCTGAAGCCGCCCCGGCGTGGGCAGAGCTCTCCTCCTCATCTGCACTCACATCCTCTGCCTCTGCCTCCTCATTGTCATCCTCCTCATTGTCATCCTCCTCATTGTCATCCTCATCATCTTCACCGCTGCCACTGCCCTCCTCCTCACCAGCTGCCGTCGTCGTGATATCAGGGTTTTCCGTTCCCTCGCCGCCCTGGAGCACTCCTAGAGACTTGGATGCCTGCAAAGCACACAGACACACACAGACACACACAGACACACACACACACAGACACAGACACACACACAGACACACACACACACACACAGACACAAACACAGGGCAAAGGGAATTAAAACACACTCACAAGGTTTCTCAGGGCGACCACCGCAGACAATAATTAATTTTAAAAGCACATGAATATTGATGGGTATTTCGAATTAGGGGTGAAACGGTTCCATGTTTTTCATGTTCGGGTAACCTAATTCCAGCATAGTTTTCCAAGGTTCGGGTATCGGTTCCATACACTCTTTTCTCCAGACCGACAAAAAGCGTTTGTGACAATTATTTTTGAGAAATCATTTTTACGATCAAGAACGAGATCCATGTGCGAAGAAGGTAATGACCAGGAGAACCCTTTGGAAGGGCGGTGATCGTAAGGTAAGACATTTAAATCTTGAGTAGACTTGACGTGTACATGTATTTGTACGAGAACGAGATTTTTCGAGTTTCGGTTCGAAATTTCACGGAACGGGTACCCGATTATTTTGAGCTGGCGGTTCCAAAACCGGTTCCTTACCCGAACCGTTTCACCCCTATTTCGAATGCAATTTAGACAGGCCATTGAATCAAGTTTCTTGATTTGTGTAAAAATCACAATCGAATAACAGGTGCAACTACCAGTACCAACGGTCCGATTTCAAATGAATTTCTGCATGTTGTACACCGTGAATGCGGCATGACTAGTAGGAGGAGAGCTTAGGCTGCAACCACACTAGCTACAAAATCACGTACAAACCGCATTACAGTAGAAATCGTCATGGCGACGCGTGCGAAATGCAAAACGTGCTTTGTACTTGGTCCGACTTATTAAAATGTGCGCTTCACTTCAAAACTCAGGCATATGTACAAAGGAGCACCTGTACTAAAAAATCAACCAAGAGACGGTAGATAGATAACTACTGTGTCGTTTCTTGGCCTGACCTTCTAGTTTTCATCGCTGCTGGTGTCTCAGGGCGCATCTGCAAGTGCGTCAACCTGCAAAACGTCGACATTTTTTCATCTCCTCCAAGCTACACTGCGCTTCTTTGATTTTTTTCACTCCATAGGCACGCTTTAGGAGCTGCATCTACGCCTTGATCCTTGAAGGGTGGTGGCGTTCCTACGGATGCGGAAAACTCGGCCTCTATATAAAGAAACCGAGTCTCACGCGAACCGTGACATTTTTTTAATAGGTACGATTTCCACGATCGACTTCGCCTCCTCCTCGGGCAGTGCGACTACCAGAATGGTGGCTGTAGGTGTTTTCGCCTGAAGCTCCCATGACACCTACCTTCAAATGGGGCGAACAAGTAAACCACCACGCATAAAAAATCACTTCTGACCACCGTGTACCGCGCGCGCGCGTACTGAGTCTGATCTGTGTCGACATGTCATGCAGTCAGACCATGCGTGCTCTTCCCTGCCTGTTTCACGAATCCAATGGCACCGGAGACTGGTGATCTTGTGACGCATCGCGATCGCGGCTCCGAGGACTCCGCACCGTATCCGCCGGATAATTCACCCTTTCCGCGCTTCAGTTTTCCAGCCAGGTTGTCGCCTGAAAGTCGACCTCAAGGCCGGTTATTTATTTCAATCAACTACTCGACGATTTCTTCTGTGATCTTGATTCGTCGGCCGCCACATCATGAACGACTGCGAGAGAGATCAGCAAACTGGACGGAGCGATGCTGGTGCTTCCTGCACGAGTTTCTGGATGACGCGTTTGCTGAAATTCTGCCAAGGAAACAGCGATTGCAGCGATTTCAATCTGCCAGGAGGCACTCGAGAACGATCGCCCAGGAGGTTCTGGTACTCCGTGACAATCCCCCATCGTAGCGGGGTATTGATTTCAGCACCAGGCCTTCTCTGTGTTGCACGAGAAGCAACAGGAGGAGTCCTCTGACGACAAACTTTGGACGCAAAATGCTCGAGTCGACTAGGATCCTGAGCCGCTGCCTCCTTTGGAGTTGGAGCCATTTCTTCTTCAACATCACATGTTGACAACTGAATGATAGTGTTAGATAGCTGGAAAGTTTATTCCGTCCTGAGATTATTTTAATTTGTTCGGTTGATGTTCGAATCGAAACGCACATTTTTAAGTCGGACCAAGGAGGTTTTCCGGCACACCCCTGTAGAAAGCCACGTTTGTCGTTTTCGTTGTGTCCGCGCTCCATCTTCTGCGTACAACTTTTTTTCCACCTGGTCGTGGTACGCATCAGCATCAGCATACAGTCATTGTTTTTGAATTTCCCGGTCTTTTCCAGCACGTGGCACATGCTTTTTTTTGGTACGACAACGTCACATGCTGGTCGCGTGAAAACATTATCTATGCAGACCAAAAAGTGCAGTGTGGTTGCGTGCCGACTTGTACTGAGATATGCACGAAAATTCGTACTGTGATTTTTACGTAGTGTGGTTGCGGCCTAAGAGAGGAAGTATGGCTTGACATTACCTCTTCAAGTTTCGACTGGGAGTCCTTCGTGAAGCCACTCGCTGCAACCTCCACGTCCAAACTGCTATCCTTGCTGCGGGCCAGACATGGAGAGGTACAAATGGACAAGGAGAAGACAACAGCTATAACCTAGTCTTTACGTTGCATCGGAGAAATTGACAAAAACAGAAATGCACTGTCACAGCCTTGATGAGTACATGGCATTGCTCAGGAGGAAAGGGTCATGAGGAGAGTAATAGAAACCTACCTCCACTAGAACGTTTGTCACAAAATAGCCAGCTCTAATAGCCAACTCTAATAGCCACCTCTAATAGCCACCTCTAATAGCCACCTCTAATAGCCACCTCTAATAGCCACCTCTAATAGCCACCTCTAACATACCTGTCTCCAAAGTTCATGAAATGGATATGATTTTATTTTATTCTTTGTTTTCAGTAATTGCTATAGGCCAGAGACGGCTTGGAGAGTGTTGCTCAGGAGGAAAGGGTGATGAGGAGAGTAGTAGAAACCGACCTCCACTAGAACGTTTGTCACAAAATAGCCACCTCTAGCATACCTGTCTCCAAAGTTCATGAAATGGATATGGAACATTCCTCAATGCGGATGATTTTATTTTATTCTTTTTTCAGTAATTGCCGTAGGCCAGAGACGGCTTGGAGAGTGTTGCGAGGATGTATGGATAGGAAACGTGTTCAGCCTATACCCACCAGCCATTCAGTGGCTGCTTTCGATTATGCACTTGAATGTTCGATTATGCACTTGAATCGATTCATGAATCCATTCGCATGCATTCAAGTCGTTCGATTTTCATGTCATGAGCCCTGGAATCGATTCGGAATCCATTCACCCTATTCACATGGGGTGATGTGAATGGCATGAATCGATTCGCGTGCATAATCGAACATTCAAGTGCATAATCGAAAGCAGCCACTGAATGGCTGGTGGGTATAGGCTGAACACGTTTCCTATCCATACATCCTCGCAACACTCTCCAAGCCGTCTCTGGCCTACAGCAATTACTGAAAAAAAGAATAAAATAAACAGGCTGGTATGAAGACGGGCAGAGTGGGAGTACAATGTCACAACGCATAGCAGGTATTCCTGACACAGAGAGGAGCGTCGCAGTACCAGCACATGCGATACGAGTTGTATGGAATCAGCTTCGGGGGACGCCGTGTTATGTACACACATACATTGCTAATGTCAATGCCCCCCACACACATGCATACACACACACACACAAACACTCACTCTATGTCGGAGAACTTTGCCCACTCCTCGCTGGTGAATTCATATCGTTTCTCGAAGAAATCCCGCACACACTGCACATCGCGATCAAAGTACCTGGACAGGACAGAAACCGAGGAGAGTTTTCAACAGCGCAAACATGCATGTGTCAAATACACAACATGCGAACACCGTAACAAACTCTGATCGAAAGAAAAAAGGGGATCGGTGACGGATAGACAGCCTTCGAAGATCGTACTGAGCCCTCGTCTATAGACCGGTGACCTGTGATGAACAGACAACCTTTGAACATCGTGACAATTCTGGCCTTTAGAGAGAGGTGATCTGTGATGGGTACCGTAACAAACTCTGGTCTAAAGAGACAGGGGATCTGTGACGGATAGACACCCGTTGAACACCGTGACAAACTCTGGTCTAAAGAGACAGGGGATCCGTGAACACAGGTTGAAAGTACATGCTCCACACTAGGCCTACTTAACACTCCTACAGTACAAACATAATAATACTGGACAAAACAAAACAACAAGGACAATCAACGCTTGTTCGCTGCTGCTTCAAGTTTCATGCTCTCGCAATCATCAGGCAACATGAGGATGGGGTACCGACCATGCCGGTATATATGCCAGGAGAGGGTACGCTCTGCCTCCGTGGTGTTGAGCACTGTCAGCACACTGGCTACATCTTCCGCTAGAATACTGGACACACTTTGGCTCATTTCGTAAAGAAACGGTGCGCACAAAATCACTGTGATTCAATCCGTGCATGTGTCCAGGGTGAACTGGGTGCTTTCACGTCTGCTGTTGGTGCCTTGCAGATCAAAAAACCGTGCAACATCCATTTCATTACACAAATTTGTATACCGTAAAGTCTTGTATAAAAGCAGCGGCTTTGAAATTTCGCAGGCTTCTATATGAGGCAGGCTTCTATATGAGACAGGCTTCTATACAATACAGGTATTTCTATGTATAATAATAATAATAATACCACAGCACGCGTACAAAGGCCAAAGAACAATGCATGAGAATACACTGAAATTAAGCCAAGTCCGCTTCTGTCTCCAGTCAACAAAAAAACTCATCCATAAACAATGTCTGATCTCCATTTCGACTTGTCTGCAGCAAATGCTCGTGCTCCTTCTAGGTCGTTGGCATTCTTCAAAGGGATGTCGTGCCCTGCCAGGTCCTTCATGATGGTGGTAGGGAGAGTAGCCGCAGGACGGCCCCTTCGTCCACGTGACCCCGCTTGAAAATAGCAGGACATCGCAAGGCAAGGGGGTGACTGCTCACTCATCCTCAGCACATGGCCAGTGAGGCTACGGCGTCGCTTGGCAACAAGCTCCGACAGTGGCTGCGAGCCACATCTGGAATACAGATCATCATTCGTAATTCTGTCTGGATATCGCACTCCCACCAGGTTTCTGAGCTGTCGGCGGTGAAAACAGTCCAGACGCTGAAAGACTGCCTGGGGTACTCCCCAAGTCTCACAGTTGTAAAGGAGGACAGGCAGCACAAGCGAGCTGTACAGCTTGAGCCTGGACCTTTCTGACACATGCTTGCGCCGCAGCCAGAGGCTGCACATACTACCGTATGCCTGGGATGCCAGAGAAATCCGCTGTCGATATCCTCAGTGCCCCCCATAAGAGAGCCAAGCTGCCTGATGCTCCGCCAGGATGAATCGCCTGACGTAAAGTGCACCCATTCCGTTTTTTGCTCATTTACTTTTAGGTTCCAAGACTGCAGTGTCGAGGATATGGCGGGTAGTGATTCCTCGAGCCAAGGTTTGCTGGTAGAGTAGAACGTTATGTCATCAGCGTACCCGGTTTCTGGAGGGATGTCTCCATCAGTTATAGGTCGCTGTGGGAGTCTTGGGCGACATTCTTGCAGGGCGGCTTCAAGGTAACAGACGAACAGCACGGGACTTAGACTGTCCCCCTGGGGCGTGCCGATGGTGGTATGGAATGCCTTGGAAGTGGAGCTGCACATACGAACAGATATGGTGGTGCCATACAGAAGATGCTGTATCATGTGGACTTCATCGCGGCCAAGGAACGAGCTCATAACATCCAGGAGCTTGGCTCTGTTGATGGTGTCAAATGCCTTTGACATGTCTAGCCCCAAGGCATGACACTCCCACACGTACCTCTGTGACTTGGCCGATAACCAACGTTGGGTGAACACGACATCACTCGTTCCCCTTGCAGCTCGAAATCCCGACGAGGTGGGTTTCTATGTATGTAAACACGAAAACCAGGCTTATGTGTGATTTGATGGGCCCAAATTTGCGGCTTTTATTCAAGACTTTACGGTACATTGTGTAGACATTGCACTACTGTGCAGCTGGTCAATACAGCAGCAGCAGCAGCAGGTGTGACATTGAAGCAGTCCTCAACTGTACACAGTGTACCTTCTCGATGCGCTTACAACACGCTCAGCTGACTGAGCTGATGCGCTTACAACACGCTCAGCTGACTGAGCTGATCACTTCTACACAAGTATATCTTGGCCCACCTCTGCATAGAGGTTGCGCAAATGACATCATCGTATGACATCATTGCATCTGTTTGTACGGACTGGAAAAACCATGTACCAGTGTTCGTGACGCTACTCCATACACATACACACAGCCCAGATGGTGACACACACTACACTAAATCACACGCTCTCAACATACCATTCAGCGTTCAGATGGGACGTGGACACCATCTGCGGGAAGTCGATAAGTGTTATCTTGCCTGGTGCGGATGAACAACAAACACACATACGCGCGCGCGCGCACACACACACACACACACACACACACACACACACACACACACACACACACACACACACACACACACACACACACACACACACACACACATACATACGCATACACACACCCATGCGCGCGCACGCACACACACACAAACACACACTCGCACACGCACACACAAATGCACACGCACATACACACACATACACACAAATGCACACGCACACACACACACACACACACACACACACACACACACACACACATACATACGCATACACACACCCATGCGCGCGCACGCACACACACACACTCGCACACACAAATGCACACACATACACACAAATGCACACGCACACACACACACACACACACACACACACACATTCCGGGTACACATAGACAAAGCAAAGTGAAACCGACGTGAATGAGATGGTACGTAACATGGACAGCGGCAAACCCTATTACTATGTGTCTTTCCCGTTCAAAACGTATGGACAGGCAATCACGTCAGTACACACGCAAGCAAGAATTCAAGCACACCGGGCAGCAGCAGTATCAAAGAAGGGAAACAAATACTCTAATTTCAGAAATTTTCGGTCCTCAATATTTTCGGTATGAGGGCAAAAGGCCAGGTTAGGTGAACAGAAAATTTCGGTACAGAGAAGCAGTTCCCTATTGGATTATGTGTGTTGGTGTTTGTTCGGTGTATTGACATTTTAGGTATGAAGCAGACGCAACGAAAGTACCGAAAATAAAAGTACACCGAAAATTTGTGAAATTACAGTAGCATACAGGCTTCAGGTGTACTAATTTAGAATTAGGTAATCAGCATTCCACTCACATACAGTGCATACTCCAGTGGCATTTAGGTGCCTGGTTTCTCTATCGAAATTACGGAAATTAGTTACACCGAGAGCGGAGTCCTCCGGTCCGATAGAGTGCTCAATGCAGAAGCAGAGCAGTAGCACACGAGTCATGGATCAGTTGTCTGAAGATTGCCATCTGGCATGACACTATTAGTGACAGCAAACCAGACGTGTGATACTCTGCGACTCGTGTGAAATTAATTACACCTAAAATAATGTGTTATCCTGTCTCGCCCACCCTGTGCACGAATGCGTACGGGTGCTTGTCACTTGCCACTTGCCACTGCTGTTCTTAAACAAATACTCACCGGCTTCGTTGATCATCAAGTTGAATTCGTTGAAGTCGCCATGAATGAGACCCACTGAGCCCAGACGTAGCAGCAGTTTCATCAGAGTCTCGTACCTCTCCTCCGGCTGATGCATTTCATTAACCTGTAAACTAAGTCCAAAAAAATGCCAGACAGAAACGCCATCGTGAGAAGGATGGACTCAAGAGAGGCAAGGATGATTTTACGGCGAAAAAAAGGACCAAGGAACTACAAGTTACGCTATAATGTCCACTAACAGCAGTTACTGTAGTTGCAGAACGCCAGCACCGTCCATCAGGTGTCACCGTCCATCAGGTGTCGTGCAATGTTATCGCATGAGCTGATTGCCAAGTACATGTAACTGGCGGGGTTCGCGGATATTATAGCGTAACTTGCAGTTCCTTGGACCAACGTGAGAGTAAATATTTTCGAACAACACTAGCAGCAGCAGCAGCAGCAGCAGCAGCAGCAGCAGCAGCAGCAGCAGCAGCAGCAGCAGCAGCAGCAGCAGCAGCAGCAGCAGCAGCAGCAGCAGCAGCAGCAGCAGCAGCAGCAGCAGCAGCAAAAGTTACCAGTAATACATGGTCAAGTAGGAGAATGGGCAAAGGTGCTAACATCAATCCAAAGGAGTTGAAATAATTCTTTGTTCCCATCTTCAATAGGTCCGTCAAATAGTAGTACAGTCAGACCTCGCTTATCCGGTCCTCATTTATCCGGATCCCTCGCCATCCGGAAGAAAATTGTCGGTCACCGATTTACAGCAATGCTATGCACACACACAGTGTGTGTTTTCGATTATCCGGTTCCCTCGCCCATCCGGATATTTTTGTGGAAAACGGATGTGTGCGGTTAAGCGAGGTCTGACTGTAATAGGTTTTTTTCATTTGACCCGACGAGACTACACGACGCTTGCTGATCACGGCACGAACAGTTCACCAGCCACACTCCACGAAAGCAAGCGTTGTGTGGTCTCGTCGGGTCAAATGAAAAAAAACCTATTACCAAAGGAGTTGAACCAAAGTATAGTAGTGGTGTTCAAGCAAGAGTACCCAAGCAAATGTACCCTACTACAGTCCATTTCAAAACTATAGACGCGTACCTAGGCAAAAACCGTTATGCCAGCAACTATACCACATAAAATCTGTGATCACTTTGTGCATATTTTTTTCCAAATCGGGCGTCTGTTATCCAATCGTTTAGAAACTATATGAGAGTAATTGTGGAGTGGACCTGAGCAATATTCCGAAAACTATTCTCAAAAAGTCATAGCCAAATTTGAAATATTTCAAACACCCTACGCGTCTATAGTTTTGAAATGCACTGTACAGGCAGTTAGCTAACGTACAGAGGAAACCCGTCGACCAGCTCCATTACAACACAATGGCGATTGAAGTCGATTGGCTCCGGAACAGGAAACCCGCGATTGTGTAGCGCCTGTTGCACAGACAGACAGACGCACACACACACACACAGGCACAGAAACAGACACAAAGACAGACAGACAGACAGACAGACAGACAGACACACACACACATTGCAAATATAAATCATGACATGAGTATTGGAGTAACGACACACGGATTGGATCATATTATTTGGATGCGCTTGACAACAACCAATTTTAGCAGCGACACTACTGGTCAGTGAGACAACGAGAGTGGCCGGCCAGCGGCTTGTCCATCAACTTTTTCAACACTATCGGAGCCATCAGCAGACCCATCAACAGCGAAACCAGCACCACCACCACCATCATCATCAGCAGCAGAATAGGCAATAACAGCAACAAGAAGTACAAGAAGAAGAAGAACAACGACAGCCGTAGTAAAACACCGTAAAGAGTGTAAAATAAAATATAAAAAAATTTCACGGTTCTGAGACTCGGCTGGAAGCCGAGTTTTCCGCATCCGAGTTTTCCGCATCCGTCCGTAGGAACGCCACCACCCTCTAGGATCAAGGCGCAGAAAGAAAAAAAGAGTATAAGCTCACCTTCATATACGCATACTCTTTAACAGCCGAGAGATGTGACAGGTAATGCCAGGGTAGGTGGCTCTTGTGACCGTGGTAGTCACGTTTGTTCTTCAACTGGCGAAACGACGTACGGCCGAGTCTGCAAACAAGAACACGCACAGCGTACAATTTAACAAACAAACAACACACTCACTCACACACCGCTCTGCCCCATGCCTCACACCACATATCCATTCAGGGTAAAGACAAGCCCTTACCGGTGAATTTTTAGAGCGTATTGATCGCCTTGCTCGTTAGCTACGATGTAGATGTCTGCAGGAGCATATAATAGACAACAGGCAAACAATCATACCGGTGGAAAGCAAGGCCATCACTATGCCAAATAATCTTTTCTGACGATGGGCGACTGGCCCGAAACGTTTTTTCCCGACATCATTAATAAAAGAATTTTCATCTAAAGAGTGAATAGCAACTAAATAGAGCGGTTGTCAGTTGACAAAACCCCTTTTATTTAAAATCATCTTTTCGAACAAAATACATGAAAAAATAGGTTATGTTCCTCTACTGCTGTAAAAGCCATTATTCTAACGAGGCGCATATATAACGATTTCCCAAAATTGACTGGTTTACGTGTACCAAAGGTAACGATTCTCACTCATTCTCAACGCTCAGTAGTACAGTATATGTATCGATTTCTGTAGAATGATTTCTATTTTAACGACAGATTTCTCCTCGTTAAATCGTTAGAGTTAGCACTTTGTTATATATAATTATGGCTTTTACAGTATTGCCGAAGGCGCAACATAATTTCTGGATCCTTGACAAGTCCAACAATTTCGCGGCTGGAGTTTGTATTCCGTCAAACCGACTTTTCCGGACGCGTATGGCAAGAACGTCGCCGCCACCATCAAATGAGCGGGGTGGGTGCCAGAAAAACCGGGACCCAAACGAGGACGGCATAGCTCAGTGCGTCGTCGGTATGCATGGAGCACATTGCAATCAGTGTACAGTAAAACCAAGAGTACATACCCCCGCGCGCCACACATAAGCGCCTCCAAATGGCACTTGTTCATAAATCGCGCAGGCTCATTGGAGCATCACTTTTGACAGCGATGTCCCAATGCAGCGCCACTTTTTTGATGTTTCACTAAGTGCAGCGCTACTCTTGAGGCAGTACGCTAAACACCGCACTTTATCACGCTCTATAATACTGTGGTTCATTCTATGGAGGTCACTCTTTGCCGGACAATCCTTCAAAGTTACTATGGCTCTACCGTGCAAAACAACGAAAGGCGGGGAAGGCGCTTCGTGCAACGGCTATATCTATAGAAAGGACAAACGGAAGAGAGACGGGACCACCACGTGGCGGTGTACTGAAGCTGCTTGCAGAGGGAGGCTAAAGACAACGGAAGTGTTGCTGCAAGACGAAGAAGACTCGTCCCCGGAAGAAGTGGGAGAGCACCATCACCCTCCAAATCCTGAGGCAACTCAAGTCCGTGGGATAGTGACAAGAATGAAACAAAGAGCCAGACAGGAATCCCTTTCTATTCCTTCTATTTACCGGGAAGATGCAGCGAACATCGCCCCAAACGTTGCCGCTGCCATTCCGTCCTTTCATTCACTGGACGCCAGCCTCTATAGATGTAGGCGAGAACGCTATCCGCCTTTGCCGCAGACCAGGGCGGCCATAGTCGTGGCAGACAGTTTCCGCAACACTGTAAACGGCGAACGATTCTTCCTTGCTGGCTTGAATGGCAACGACATCACACTGGTGTTTGTGTCGGATGCAGATTTGGGTTTGGGATTGTGGAACAGTGAAGAGTGGTTTATCGACAGTACCTTCAAAGCAGCGCCCCTCCTCTTCATGCAGCTCGTAACAATCCATTGCATGAGCGGAAACAAATACCTACCCTTGGTTTATGCTCCTTTTTCAAGGAAGACTAGGCAAGCTTACACTGATCTACTTCAGTGTTTGAAAGATGCAGCTAATGAATGTGGCCTTGTGCTGCAGCTCAATGCGATCATCAGCGATTTCGAGTCACGATTGGCACCCGCTATCACAGCAGAGTTTCCCGACGCAATCCATCGTGGATGCTCCTTCCCCATCGCCCACCAACACTTCAGGCATTAGTCCGACTGTCCGTATACGAGTTGAGCGGACACTGCAAGTCTTTTGGACAGTGCTAGCGGATCAAATCGAACTAACTACCTTGAATGAAGTTTAGTCTTCTACATGTCCTGGAGTAGATTCCAGACTCGTTGTTCTTCCTCCACACGCTGTCAAAGTTGTTTACCTGTATCAATATACTGCAGTGTTGAGTGGAGACTGGAGACACATGTGAAGGTTAGTACCTGGAGCCGGGTACCGACTCGTTCATGATCCGTGGAAGACTCGGTTCGAAACACAATTGCACTAAACAATTTGTATTCTCTCTTCCCTTTTCTCAGACTCGACAGCGGACTTGTGAACATCACACAGAGCCCTGACTCTACGTTGCAACATTGCAAGCAGAGAACTGCGGATGTGTGGGTGTACACATTTCAGCAGTATTTTAAGTATTGACGTGGAAAGTGTCGCGGTGTTGGGCCAGCGCTGTGAAAAGCTACGCTGTCAAGAGTCAGTGTTGCAGAGAGTGTCGCGGTGTTAGGCCAGCGCTGTGAAAAGCTACGCTGTCAAGAGTCAGTGTTGCAGAGAGTGTCGCGGTGTTGAGCCAGCGCCGCAAAAAGTAGTGCTCCATTAAGAGGCGCTCATGTATGCTGCGCAATAAAAGTTGCGCTGAAGTGAGGCCAGATCAGTGAAACAAGTCAGTCCATTGCCGGGAGACGCATTTTACTACATTGTAAGGTGTGGGCGCTTTCCAACCCAATTTAGGCAGAAGCGAGCTGCGCATATTGAGAAAGGAATTACTCCTGAACGGTTGGTACATTTTATCGCATTCCCAACTCATCACAACCATGCGCTCTCAGCCGAACCATACAGACATCAGCAAGGACACTTCCGTTGAGAGATAATATTGTTCCACGCCTCTAGACAGCTGTTGGCACATGTAAAAGGAAATCGTGTGAAACATAATGTCAAGTATTACCAAGAGTCCATAACCCCCAGAGTGTGCAACGCCACATAAATCTCTGTCACGACTCGCTTTCAACATTACGTCATTTTCATGTAGCTGCGCGTGCAGGCCGCGACATTCGCTACATGAAAATGACGTAATGTTGAAAACGAGTCGTGACAAGACCCTATCGCGCGTTGCACACTCTGGGGGATGTGGACTCTTGGTATTACGACGAAAACAAGGTAAACGAGACTTACCTGATTCCTTTCCAATCCCGATCTGCTCACCAACGGAGTAGATTTTCCCCCGGCTGACAAGATTCTTCAGCGCCAGGAAATCATAGCCAGTGAACGTCAGACGATATCCCTCGCCTAGGAAATAGTACACACAGACATAGGCACACAGACACACACATAGGCACACAGACACAGACAGATAAACACACACACACACGTTTCTACTTGCTCCCGGCCAGAAACTGATCACATGGGTCTACTCAGGAGGACGAAGGAAAATACCCAGCGGGAGTAAGGTAACTCAATCTACTATTGAATCACCCAGCAGACCGCATCACATGTTTATTGGCACTATGTCATCGTGATTGTGGAATAATAAAATAAATAATAAATAAACCGACCACCCTATCCAAACCTACATGTGGGCTTGGCAGTAAGATCATATTCCCCAGTAAACATAATACCTTTTAACTCGGATGGCGAGCCAAGGAAAAAATTGTAAAATGTGGGCACAAGTTTTGCGATCGAGTCCACCAAATTAAACCACTTGTCAGTTTTGTACCACAAATACAGCACCGGTACTACTATTACTTGAGACCTGTACATTGTAGTGGTGTGGGTTGCAAATCTTGTGAGTCTGAAATGGATTCAACAGCACCACTATCAGCACACACAAATACATCTACTCAAGTGCCCCATTGGTGAACACGTGTGTGGACATGAGCTTTAACTAAGTTCAAGTATGCCGGTACGTAAGTGCGTGTGCGCGCACATGCATACACACGCGCGCACGCATACACACACACACGCACGGACGCACACACACACACGCACGAACGCACACACGCATTCACACACACACACACACGTACACACACACATGCATACACACACATGCATACACACGCACGCACACGCACACACACATACGCACACACAAACACCCATGCAAACACCCATGCATGCAAGAGTGCATCCGTAGGCACCGTACCTTTCTTCCCATGGCTGTAGAAAAGTAGACGTTTGTGCACTAGATCGCGCAGGATCTTCGGGCAGCCACCATGCTTGAGTTTGGCATGGCTGGAGACGAGGCCACTGGGTACAATGGCATGATTACGCATGCCTTTCTCCACCTAACAGTTACAAAAGAGAGAAGTTAAGTTTGAACATCCGCGTTACCACCGGCTTACGATTGTGTTGAGAAACACAACCAGCTTAGAGAAGTTTCGCTCATGCCAGGCCACCACTATGCCTAATTACACCAGGGTGGCAGATGCAGCGCCACAAACGGTTACAATAACAGCAATATTCAATAACAGTACAAACAACAACAGACGTTGTAATAAAAGCACCAGCAGTAGCAGTAGCAGTAACCGCAATAGGCCGCTAAAGGAAGTGGACAAGGGATGCCAAATAAAGGACAACAACTCTGAAACACAACGCGTACAAAAAGCCTGGACCAACAGATCTCTGTTGAAGTGTGCGGCATCCATGGAACCTATTGCCAGTATCTGCCATGCTTTGTCACTTTTTAGTCCGTGACACAGACATCTCTGCCCGAGACTGGGGTGGTGAGCGGTGGTTGGGACGACTGACTGCCATCGGAGTTGGTGTATCGGAGCGCAGAGGGGTCGGAATCAACGGAGCTTGGGAGTTGCTGAAGAGTATGGAGGCGGAGTGGTGGCATTGCTCACTTTGGCTACTCTTCTTTGCTTCTTGGCCAGTTCCTTTGTGCCTGTATTCCACCTTCATGAACACACCCTACTTGAGATGGGCCGGTACGTACATAATTATTACTGACGGTACGTCAACAAATATTCCGTGCACGTTTGTTTTCGGCTATTTTCGGCCTGAAATTTGTTGCGGCCGAAATTTTGTTTCGTAGCGTTGCACAATGCAACCAGAGACTAGTTGACAGCAGCCCGGTCCCGCGATAACATGCACCGTATGGAGTCGTGCTCACGGCGTGTCCTCCACCTTGGGATATCATGTTATCATCCTCATACTGATACATGTACAATGATGCACCTGGTGAAAGGTACAACCAGGCTTACAGCGTATACTAGTACCAAAAGTATACAAGCTCCCAGAAGCAGATTATCTACTCTTGCTTATACTCAATCTGCGGGCAGAACTGTTTCGCCCCTTGTGGACTCGTCAGCGCAGCACAGAGGAAATGAAGCCGAACCTGATAGCAATGAAAAATAAATTTTCCAAAGCCAGTACCAGGTCCGAACGTGCCTTGCCAGAGTGCTCAAACGGACAAGTCAGTGAGCTCTGCACACTCTTGCTTATACAATGGTAGAGCCGCACTTTTTCCCATTCTGTAATTTTCTCAGTGCAAATTCCGTAGCAGGCTATCGACTACAACACAGACGCATGAAGCCTATCTGTTTACTCTCGCGGCGCTTCGCCATGAGAAAATGTCAGCTAAAATATCCACAAACATAGAAAATCAAAGTTCTTACCGCTGCGAGTACTCTGAAGTCATCTTTGGACATGTAGCGCAGTGCGGACACATCTAGCTTGCCCATGGCTGGCTTGACACAACAGGCCGAGATAAAAGTCGCTCGATACTGACCTTGCTCGAGAAGACTATAGCGTTTTATCTAGCTGGAAGTGGAAATACAAAAGCCTCTGAACTGAGCTTGAGATACTGTGCTGTATTTTTTGTTTTATTGGAGTTTTGAAGGAAAAGAAATGATTGATGATTATCACTGCACATGATCATATCGTGCATCATCATCATCAAGAGTGCATAAACAGTTTTTTGTTGTTGTTTTGTTGCATCATGCAACACACACGTGGTACATGTACCGTATATACGCGTACTACTAATACTATGTAGTAAAAAATATTATTTGTTATTTGTCACATCAAGTGACGTCATCCAGTACAGCTTCAATCAAGACAAGAGGCGCAAAATCCCAGATATGCGCGGATCCTGTCAGGGCCGCGCCGGTGGACCTGTGCCTGTGGTGCAGGAACTCAGCGTTTGTTTTCACAAAGACGAAGACCACAAGTACATGTAGTTGTAGTGACACTTGTGGTGGTACGAGTACATGTACAAGGGTTGTTGTGAATTTTGCAGTGGAGGTCGTGCTGTTGGTGCTTGGTGACTTGCAGAGATGCCTCATCATTGCTGTGAACCTGGATGTACCCAGGACAGTAGCGGAAGGGTAGCTGGAGAGCCTGTATCCTTTCACTCCTTTCCCAAAGATGAAAAATTGCATCGCGAGTTGATTGTGAAAATCCGTCGTGATGAAGGCGAGGAATTTCGTGTTGGCGACTCGACCAAAGTCTGCTCCATACACTTCGAGGAGGAATATTTCTCTACTGGAGCTCGCCGCCGTGCTGAGGAGAAGAAGGCTACCTCCATAAAGTGGAAGAACTTGAAGAAAGATGCTGTGCCAACTCTCTTCCGACGTTCAACAAACCAGCGCTGACTCGATGCCTGTAATTTTGGTCTCGGCTGCAACCTCACTACTGAACACTAGCAGTCGTGGCATCTACTACTACCTGTGCTGAGTACAGCTCGTCACAGCTTGAGTAGCGCAAGTAACATCGGACAAAGTAGGCACAGCAGTGTCATCCCTATCAGAGGATGCACTTTCATCTGACGGTGACATGCTCTCGTCGCTGGATGACTGCTGGGCTGTCAGCCAAGTGGCACCACCGTACCGCTTGACATTGCCAGTCTTGTCTACTGCTACTGTATGATTGTGAGATGCTTGCAGGTCTTTGCGCAGCTTCTCTAGCTCTCCAGGCTCCACAAGGCGCTTGTTAGGAGGCACAGAGTTGAACAAGGCTTTGGCAGGTCATTGACGTTTTGAGCCAAAGGAAGGCCTGTGTAGTCAGACATCGATCACACGTCTTGGTTCCTCCTTTCTTGTGCGCGGCCTGCTCCACCTGCAGAGCCGCGATGTCGGCGACTCCTCATCTTCTTCACGCAGACCGAATCTTATGAACTCATCCTCCAATGCGTACAGTAGGGCAGCTCCATGGTTACAACAACCGCCCAGCCCAGCCGCACAGGTGCACAGAGCAACCTTCACCGTTCCATCATCAGACAAACCGACTTTCACCCTGTAAGGGTCTGTCCTCCTCACGGACAGCAGAACGTCGCTCCGTACATAGCAGGCACCGGCACTCTCTGCCCCGTCAATGCTCTGCACGTGGTCAGATTTGAAAACAATTGTACCCTTGTCCATTCCCTGGAACGAGGAGAACAGGTCAACATGACAAAGTCATAATGGCGGTAGGTTGTAATAGTTTCTGTCGTCGCCCTTTCCCTGCCCAGCTAGGCCATGTACCAAGAGTACATAACCCCCCAGAGTGTGCAACTCCCACATACCCTGCTGTCCCGACAGAATGTCAAGTTGGCGTCATTATTTATGATGCAATGCTCCTTGCACCAGTGATTTACAACATGTGTACGGGTGTCAACGCATCACCCGTTTTTCTTTGCAATAATTTGTACAGGATCAGATCGGCTCCGGTCAACCACAGGTTCCGGATTCGTCTGATGATCCGTGCACAGTACGCATTGCATCATCATAAAGGGGGGGGGGGGGGTTATGTACTCTTGCATGACTGAATGGACTCTGGGGGGGGGGGGGGGGGGGGGGGGGTATGTACTCTTGCATGTACTCATCAAGGCTGAATGGACTCTGGGGGGTATGTACTCTTGCATGTACTCTTGCATGACTGAATGGACTCGGGGGGGGGGGGGGGGGGGTTATGTACTCTTGCATGTACTCATCAAGGCTGAATGGACTCTGGTTGTGTTCACTAAGGCTGTGTTTACATGAAGCGTTTCAACCCGGGTTGAGTTCGACCCGGGTCAGATTTCAACCCGCCATGTGCACAAAGTGAATGGCGCGTTTACATGACGCATTGCGCTTGACCCGGGTTGAAATTTCGCCCCGGGTTGATTTCAACCCTCCCCCCAAGGGGAGGGTTGAAATCAACCCGGGTCAAGAAAATCGTACAAACGTACTTCTGTGGGTATCTCGCGCCAGGTTTGAACGGCACTGCAGATGCACATTTCGCGCGAACGGATTCACGTGACCATACAGGACTGTAGAAGTGGACTTTTGGCGGCATATCAGTATTTGACCCGGGTCAACTGTCTTCATGTAAACGCTCACCTCTTTTGTCTATCGTACAGACTTTCAACCCGGGCTGAACTCGACCCGGGTTGAAATTTCTCATGTAAACAAAGCCTTACAGTACTGTACAGGCAAAACATTTCGTCAGTCAATAATTTCGTCCAACTGCAAAGAAAGGGAGTTCGTCCGGTTGAAAATTCCGTCCCTGGAGCATAGGAGTGTATTGAAAAGCTGGACAAGTCGACATTAGTCCGGCATTTAATTCCCGTAGCTATGCAGAAGACGTTACTTCAGTAACGTCTGGCGCTAGCCAGGGTCCACACAGCTTTAATTTGGTGTTTGTTTGTTTGTTTGTGTCACGCCTGGCGCTATCCCGTATCTGTCCCGTACTGTACCGTACCAGCAAAGACAGCTGGCCACAATATTTTTGTTTGTTTGTGCCATCGACATGCCTGGCGCTATCCTGTACCTGTCCCGTACCATCAAGAGTACGGTACCATCAAGAGAATGAGTATATATGCAAAGTGTATCGGGGGATGCATTCAGTGCAGTAACATTTTGTGTGGATATGTGTGCGAGGCCGAGATCCCACTAGCAGGCTGGCTGGGCCGCCTGTCGACCAGCCCGGGAATCGCATGTAGGCCGATAGCATAATCATTATAACGTATATAGATGTATAGCAGGGATTCGTATTATGTAAACGACTCCCTGCTGTATAGGGAGATTTTCTGGAAAGAATTAAGTAGGGAGACGAGGAAACTCAATTAGAATGGACGTTAGTTGCCGAATAGGTGACAGGACGCGTCAGCAAAAACAAACTTTGGAAGAGAGATCCCGTCGTCTCCAAAATAATCCTGAACGGGCGAGTCAGCGCCGTTCACAGGAAACGTCGGAAGAGAGATCCCGTCGACTCCAGAACGTCCGTGATCGGCAGAGTCAGCGCCGGTCACAGGAAACGTCGGAAGAGAGATCCCGTCGACTCCAGAACATTCGTGATTGGCAGAGTCATCGCCGGTCACAGGAAACGACAGGACAGGCATCACGCCGACCCCAGAACGCCCGTGATCGGCAGAGTCAGCGCCGGTCACTAGCGGTGTGCGGATAATGCTCGAAAAGGTGGCAGATTCTGCTCGAAAAGCAGTGAAATTGGCAGAACCATACTAACCTATGGCGGGCAATTCCTCAAATTCTGCTCCATTTCTTTATCCACATACCAAACATGCATGAAACTTACCCAAAAAGTACCGAATTTTGTCAATGTTTCTGCCGTCATTATCCGCATATGCCTACCGTTCACAGGAAACGTCAGGACAGACATCCCGTCGTCTCCAGAACGCCCGTGATCAGCAGAAACGAGACAGGTACGGGATAGCGCCAGGCATGACGATGGCACAAACAAACAAAAAGATTGTGGCCAGCTGTTTGTGGCCAGCCGTCTTTGATGGTACGATACGGTACGGGACAAATACGGGCTAGCGCAAGGCGTGACACAAAAAAATATAAATTAAAAATAAACTAAAAATAATCGTCCCGTAGCTTTGCAACAGACGTTACTTCAGTATCGTTTATCGTTTGGTGCTTGCCAGGGTTCACACAGCTTAGACACGTCACATGCATGATGAGCAAGCAAAAAAGGATAGCGTAGGGCCCTGAGCTTCCAAGCTCTCTCGTTCAGTCCAAATGCTCCTTGGACGAAAAAGACGAAATCAAAATCCAGACGAATATTTCTTATTTCTGCTTGCACAGTATAGTGTTACAGTATGCCAATGTGTTTCTGCTTTTTAGCTTTTTATCACTTTCTCGGATGTAACGTAAAGATGAGGTCATAGCTGATGTCTTCTCCTCGTCCATTTTTACCTCTCCATATCTCCATGTGCCTGCAGCAAGGATAGCAGTTTGGACGTGGAGGTTGTTGCGCGTGGCTTCACCCAGGACTGCCAGTCGAAAACTCGAAGAGGTAATGTGATGCCGTGTTTTCTCTCTAAGCTCTCCTCTTAGTAGCCCCACCGATATCGTGGGGCACAACAAGCAGAAGCTCATTTGAAATCGGACTGTTTGTGTTAACTTTCGTTTTACTTGACCAGTTGCACAGGCATTGATGCCTTTTCACCGTCCTACTGTAAAAGCCATTGTTCTAACGAGGCGCATATATAACGATTTCCCAAAGTTGACTGGTTTACGTGAACGAAAGGTAACGATTCTCACGCATTCTCAACTCTCAATAGAACAGTATATGTATCGATTTCTGTATAACGATTTCTATTTTAACGCCAGATTTCTCCTCGTTAACTCTTTAGAAGTAGCACATCGTTATATATATGGCTTTTACAGTATACCGGTTCTGACAGTAAGATGAAGACATGTACAGTAAACCCTGTGACTAACGACCACCCCTTGGGGCCGGAGAAAGCGGTCTTTAGTGGCAGGTGGTCCTTAGTTAGAGGTTTGCACCGCACAACCATACAGTAAAACCTTGTGACTAACGACCACCCCTTGGGGCCGGAGAAAGCGGTCCTTTAGTGGCAGGTGGTCCTTAGTTAGAGGTTTGCACGGCACAACCATAATTATATGCATGTGAGACCGTCCGTGCCTGGCGAAGTGGTCTGTAGTAGCAGGCTGGTCGCTAGTCACCGTGGTCTGTAGTAGCAGGCTGGTCGCTAGTCACCGTGGTCTGTAGTAGCAGGCTGGTCGCTAGTCACGGTGGTCTGTAGTAGCAGGCTGGTCGCTAGTCACGGTGGTCTGTAGTAGCAGGCTGGTCGCTAGTCACGGTGGTCTTTAGGTACCGGTTTTACTGTATAGGATTAGGATAGTCATCAGTTTTGAGGGAAAGTTGCAGACGGGAAAAGCCTGAAGAAAAAATTGACTGCCACCACCAGGTCTTGAAATTATAGGAGGAATTGTTTAGAAATAAAGACATGCAAGCGGTATGTTATAGAAATATTACCGTACTCGCGCGATTGGAGCCCTCTCTCGAATAGCGCCCCTGTCTCCGAGAGCCAGTGAAGAAAATAAAGCCCTCTCTTGAATAGTGCCCCACCTTCGGGGCTTGTAACCAAGCACATGTGCAATGGTTCTTCCTAGGGGTGTCTTTGTCTATGTTGTCGATGGACGCAATCGCGAAGGATTCTCTGTCCATTTCGCTCTGGACACCCAATTGTTGGCGCTGATGGACAATTGTCATCTTATACCGGCTGAATGTGTCGCGTCCTGCAACAATTCGGGGACTTTAAGAGAATGTTCATAAGCTCTGATGACTTGCTGTAACTCTCCACGCAGTCACTTAGAAGAGTGTGGAGTGGAAAGGTACATGATGGTATTGCTGGAGAATTGTCATCTTATACCGGCTGAATGTGTCGCGTCCTGCCACAATTCCGGACTTTGAGAGGATGTTCATAAGCTCTGATGACTTGCTGTAACTCTCCACTCGGTCACTTAAAAGAGTGTGGAGTGGAAAGGTGCATGATGGTATTGCTACATGCAGCATGGGTGCACTGTGACGTTGGTTGCCAATATCGAGGAAAACTTGTGAAGAAGTAGGCCCGGCACACCATCACTACCAGGTCGCCTTACTTGGGTCCACGGAACTCAAGCAGGACTCAACGGCAGAAACTGTGACTGGCTGGAAGGCAGAGAAACCACGTCGTTGTGTTGGTCCCAAGGGAACTTGAAGTGTGGCGGGACGCTCTGGGTCATGTGCGACGCCACCAAGCGTTTCACTGAGTTCCTGTAGAGATGCCTGTGGGACCTGGGATTACTTTTGCCTGCCAGTTGTAGCATCCGATACTCTCCAAAGTTTGCGTTGATCAGTCGTTCGGCATTGGTCAGTGAAGTACTGGCTGCGCAGCTTCCTGTCGAGTCGCCGAGTTGTAGCCCGAGCTTCTCCGTGCTGACTATGCAGAACTTCAGCACACTTTCTCTTGGCGGGGGCGTGACCACCGGCACGGGCTTCATCGTCTGGCATCTTTCACTGTGCCGCTGCAGGGAGTCTGCTGGTTTGTGAGCAGAGAGACATCGCACGCAGTAGTGTGTGGCATATCTGTTCTTATTTTCACGTGCACGAGTCTAACGTTTTCGATCCACGTGAAGTGGCCGTCCTGAAGAAGCAGGTTGATCGGAGTCTCCTGTCGCTCGCTGAGATAGAGTGGGCACAGGTTCCCCTCGTAGCCAAACACATTGATTGTAAGATCATTCTGTATCTCCACTTTGGGTATATCACGGGGCGTTGCAGGGAACTTTACACCGTCGAACCGCAGCTCATCAATGTACTGGGTATAATTGGACACATGCTCAGCATGCTGCTCGGCGGGATGCAGCGCTGACAGTATTGCCCACATCAAGCATGCTGCTCGGCGGGATGCAGCGCTGACAGTATTGCCCACATCAAGCATGCTGCTCGTCGTCGTTATGTACATTGATGATGGCATTCTCTTTTTTTTCTAATTTGGGTGGGATGGCAGCAGCACCACCTGCCTTGTACTGTACACGACCCGAAATTTAATACGACGAAGGCTTTGCTGAAAGTTTTTTTAAAAATAATTGTACTAGTGGATGAGAAACGTAAAATGTTTGGCACCTATGAAATCAGGGGATGGCCCACGCCTGCACCTATGAAATCAGGGGATGGCCCGCGCCTGCACCTATGAAATCAGGAGATGGCCCACGCCTAGTAAATACTAGTAATTCGCACAGCAGAAAAGCAACCAACAGAAAATCACGGAATCATAGCGAACGAAACAAGATCATCGGATAATAAAAGTGTGGAATATAAATGCTAGACACGGCTACTCTGCAAGAGTCTCAGTCACGCAACTGACAGTCGTTGACTGCCAGCACAACAGGACTGGCAGCATCCACATGACTGTGGTAGGGAGAAGCACGGTGACCACGGAGGCTCATGTTGCATGATCTAACCAAAGCAAAAGGAGACAAGGGAGCGGATCCAGGACATGACGGAGGAGTAGGGTTCATGTCGCTTCTCCGAGACCATTTGGCCAAGACGCCTCAGGAAAGCGTGGGCTATTTGCTCAGAGTACATTTATGCCTACATTATTTTCATGCATTTTCGTTGTTACCTTTTGTCAAATCACGATTGCGCTGTGGCAAGCGGGCTAAATCGGGAGCTTGGCGCCAGATTTGGTGTTTGTTTGCGGGAATCCTTCTTTTTCACCACAGTTGCCAACTCTGGCGAGGACTCCTTAACTCAGTGCTGGCATTCATGCCTCCACGTTCTGGCCATTGGACTTCGACAGTTTCGCTTGTTCTGGTGTGCACCGTTGCGTGTGTGGTTCCGCTGGCGAGGTTGCAATACACAGCGATGTGCCCTGGTTGGGAGCATTTACGGCTGGTTGCAGGCTGGCCATCGTAGCGTACATTAATATGAGTTGTTCGCAGGTGTTTTTCATGTATGAGGGAATCTGCTTGTCGGGGCGAAGAGAGAATGTGGTGAAGCGGACATCAGTGGCAATGGCAAGCCCTGACTTTGTCATCACAGATCCATGGCGAACAGGTCCAACGGCCGATCCATAGTGACCCAGGCTTTTGATAGGAGTGTCACCCAGACAGGCACGTCGTGCATTTGGATTTCCTGTTGTTACTGGTAGTCGCATATTTCTTTCAATTGTGATGTTTATGCAACTCGGGAAACTTCACTGTACGGTCTATCTTCACTGCATTGGAAAACATCCATCGATATACTGTACAACCGGAAAGTTTAACGACCAAAAAGTTTAACGTTTTTTTTTGTAATTTTGGCATGATTACGTGCAGAAAGTTTAACGATGGCTACCTGGCCACCCATATCCATCTGTATGCGCATCTTTACACGGACATCTAGCGATAACGTTTTTTTCAAATAACGAAAAATAATTTGTCGTTAAAACGTTAGACTTTGTGACTCGTTAGACTTTCCGGTTTTACAGTAATCATCCTGATGGCTTGGAGGGTCCTGGTGATGTTCCAGGCCAACGCGTTGGTCAACTATACACTCATAACTTGTTTATCCGGGCGGTCCGGGGACGCACACTGCCCGTAACTCCGAATCACATACATTTTGATGGGGAAAAGGCCATAGATACGGCATAAGACGTCACTATGTCCATGGAGGAATAATAATATTTCCACTGAAACTAAGGCTGCGTTTGTTTTTAGCTACCTGGTAGAGTAGAGTAGAGTCACTCTACCGATAGAGGTAGATGGTAGAGGTAAGTGCATGAATGCTGCTCTACCGGATTTAGTAGTTTACACGATATTTACGTGAAATGTTTCTCTTCTGTATGGATTTGTGTTAGTGGTGAAACGAATGGCAAAAACTATCAGCCGAATATTCTTTGGCTTAACGAACGAACGAACGGACGAATATTCTTTTGGTTACACAGATGACATCACATGCTCTCCTCTCAGTCATTTGTTGGATATTGTCATTACTATTAGCAAGAGTACATAACCCGCAAGAGCGTGCAACTCCAGCTATGGGGTCTGCGACGGCAGAACTTCACATCACGTGATGAACCTGTACACATTATTTGCACTCTGTGCATGATTGGTACGGGCAAGAGTATATAACCCCCCAAGAGTGTGCAACTCTGCATATGGGGTCTCCGACGGCGAAAACTCACATCACGTGTCTCAGATTAGTTTGTACTACGTACACACGAAGGATAGCGTGCGCGCAATCCGAACATCTGCCATGATCATGCTGGGGATTTGCATATACCCGTGGTGAGTTTCTGCCAGAAAGTGCTTTTTTTGTTACTCCGCTGCTCGCTAAAAACGGGCTGGAAACGTGCAACTGCGACACTGCACCACGTGATGTGAGTTTTCGCCGTCGGCGTACCCCATAGAAATAGTATCAGGAGTAACCCCCGAGTTGCACACTCTTGGGGGGCTATATACTCTTGATACAGGGTTGTACGCAGCCCAGCTTTGGGAACAACTCTCTTGTGGTCACTTTGCACTGTTTGCCAGTGTAACCTTTTGAACCATGCCACGTGATGTGAAGTTCTGCCGTCGCAGCACTGCATAGAGGTTGTGCAGGCAGTTGCACCCTCTTGGGGTTAATTATGTACTCTTGCTATTAGGTATGACAAACGGTAGTGCCACATAAAATGCATTGCCACATACGGCTACTTCGAAGTGCACACAATGTCATGTTTATATGCAATATTGGCAGTCCAGTATGCACATACATGTGCAAACATGCAGTACAAAGTCACAGGCAGGCTGTACGCATTGCAATATTCGAATATTCGTTTCACCACTAATTTCTGTACAACTTGATCCTACTGGAAATCCCGTACTGCTTCTACCGGCTTCTACCAACTTTTGTCTGGTAGAGCCGGTAGAGGAAAGTAGAATCTACCCTTTTCAGTAGAAAAAAAGAACCCTTCTACCGAAAGAAGTAGTTTCTACCCAAACCTGTACTTGTAGATCAAAAATGAAGGCCCCTTACCCAAAGAGTGCCCAGTAGACCAAAGTGCCCGTAACTTGGGGGTCCAGATAACCGAGGTATGAGTGTTTTTCATGGGCATCGAGGAGACCGTCGAAGGAAGTAACTGTTATTCTTGATTTGCATACATACACTTTTTGAAGCGAATTGGCAGCAGCGGTCACCCTGAGAAAACGTGTGGATATGATTGCATTGCTTCTCTTTGTCGTGTGTGTGTGTGTGTGTGTGTGTGTGTGTGTGTGTGTGTGTTTTCAGGTATCCCAGTCTCTGGGTGTTCTCCATGGTGGTGAAGGTACATGTAGTGGTGTCGCCACAGAGATTGGTGACAGTGATGATGATGAAGAGACCGCGGTAGTGTGGAGGGGGAGGAGGAGAATTGACAGAGCGAGTAAGTGAGTGCGAACGAGGAGGTCTGTTGTGCTCCATCTGTTTAGACCAGCCTCCGCAGCCCCTGCCTCCAACGACCACACATTTGAACTAACATAACATTGCTAGCCCTGAAACCTATACCAATGAAGTGACCCTCCTCTCTAACAAGCGGATGCTCTGCTAATAAGCCATGATGTGGCCCTCCTTCTAGCTGCGACCGTTCAACTTATTATAAAAAAGACTTTTAAAGTAGGGCTGAAACAATTATACCGATAACTCGCATATCGATCGTTAAGAGTGCAATCGATAATCGTTAGTGTTTAAAACGAGTGCTAACGATTTATTATGAATGCATATCAGTGACAGTATTCTAGCCCTTGCACTTCATCCGATAGTGAATACGAGTACAATCATGTACTTCCAAGCGCGGTAAAATTGATTTGTGGCTTTGAAAGAGATCGGGAGAGAAGACTTTGTCTTTTTGGTTCATTTGTGTGAGAGGTTGGAGATAAGAGCAGTTGCCAGAGGGTGATGACAAGATTCTTTGCTCTAGAAACAACATGAAATTCTCTAGTTCAAGTTGATAAACCAGCCAGATTTCCACAGATGTCAACAGAGCGGTGCCACAAATTTCTAATGTACCAAAGGTATCATGGAATTTCTTCATAAACTGGTGTGCGAGGTACACGAGTAGAGCCGACAAGAATCGATAAAACCAATATATCGATCGTTAATGATATTGGTTGATCGTTAGGAGTTATTGAATGATCGTTTCAGCCCTATTTTAAAGGCTTATATTTTTTAGGGCTGAAAGGAATATTCGAAATGTGCAGATCGGAAAAAGAATATTCTTCGTTTAAGGGCATGTTCGATTGGTAAGGATCGGGATCCAGATCTCAGATCCGTCGGATCCTGCAGAGTCAACTGGACACTGTTTTGGGCCTTGACTGTTGCCATGTTGACGAAAGTAACGAGAGAGCTTGGAAGCTCAGGGCCCTGCGCTATGCTTTGTTGCCTAGCTCATCGTGCATGTTGTTAGAACTGATGGAAATGCTTTTTCCTTCGATTAGCTAAATCATTGTTTTGCAAAAACGTTTCAATGAGATACTGAAGTACAAGTAACGTCTTCTGCATAGCTATGGGACCGGCGCTGACTCTGCCGATGACGGGCGTTCTGGAGTCGACGGGATGTCTGCCTGACGTTTCCTGGGACCGGCGCTGACTCTGCCGATCACGGGCGTTCTTCTTCTTCTTATTATTATTATTATTATACTGACGGCAACTAACATCCATTCTGATTTCATTTACTCGTCTCCCTACTTCGTATTTCTTTCCAGAAAATCTCCCCATACAGCAGGGAGTCGTTTACATAATATGACTCCCTGCTATACATCTACATGACTGTATATACGTTATAATTATTATGCTATCGGCCTACATGCGATTTCCGGGCTGGTCGACAGGCGGCCCAGCCAGCCTGCTAGTGGGATCTCGGCCTCGCACACAAATCCACACAAAATTTAATGTTACTGCACTGAATGCATTCCCCCCATACACTTCGCATATATACTCATTCTCTTGATGGTACCGTACTCTTGATGATACGGGACAGGTACGGGATAGCGCCAGGCATGTCGATGGCACAAACAAACAAAAATATTGTGGTCAGCTGTCTTTGCTGGTACGGTACAGTACGGGATAGATACAAAATAGCGCCAGGCGTGACACAAACAAACAAACACACAAACAAACACCAAATTAAAGCTGTGTGGACCCTGGCTAGCGCCAGACGTTACTGAAGTAACGTCTTCTGCATAGCTACGGGAATAAAAAGTCGTACTCACCGCGCCAGTTGTACAAAAAGTCAGCAAGCTCTATCTGGATCCACGTGTGCGTACCACAATGTGTACAAAAACGATTTTTACCCGCCGTATACGCACAAAGGTCACATTTGGATCCGTTGGATCCGGTCAACCCTGCTCCCCGAGGTGGGTTGACCGGATCCGGATCCAGATTCGACCAATCGAAAGGGTGCGAATCCAGTGGATCCGGTGGATCGGGATCCCGATCCTACCAATCGAACATGCCCTAAGAGTAGAATAAGAATGTTCGTAAATGTACAGAAACTCGTCTTTTTGATATCGAACAGGTTTATTTGGTGCAGAAAGTGGGTGAGATTGCCACCTTCCATGTGTTGTCATCAGCAAGACAAACGATAACATTGTCCTTTTCAAATGTCCCTCCTGTAATTGGGGCATACGCTAGTTGATGGTCTATGGTTACCATGGATACAACTAGGTATCCATGGATATTGTATGGTTTAGAATATTCGGAATATTCTTCGTTTCACACGTATTCGGAAAGAGAATATTCGTTCGCTTCATTGAGCATTCGTTTCAGCCCTAAATTATTATTCCCTTGTTTCTGTCTCCGTGATTCTTGCAGCTATCAACAATGATCATGGCGGGCTGGAGGCTTCTCGATGACACTGTGTAGCATAGGGCATAATAACAGCGTTGGCGCCCACCTCCGGACAGTTGCCGCCCGGGCGAACTCACGCATTGGACTGCTGCACACGGCAGCTCGAGTCCTGCACGGTCCTGGCAAGCTTGGTATGTACTGTAGCTTTGTAAGACTGCTGCTTGAGTACTCTCTGCTTGCCTGAATGCGACCTGCTCCCGCCAACCTCCAGCACCTAAAGCTCGCTCAGCGACGGGCCCTGCACATCCTGGGGCCCAGCGTGCTACTGCTGAGCATCGAGGCAAGGAGGACAGTGGCAGTATTGTCGTTCCTGTACAAGCTGCTGTGCCTGCAAGGTCCCGCTCTACTCACACCAATGATTACTCCCCGTCGCAATGCTCCTGCCGAGCCTGTAACTTGCAGGCAATGTCGGCAAACCGCTGATCACCCATACCAGTATGCTAACACTCTCCCCTCAACTGCTCCTAATTCCCTTCAGCGTACATTTCCGTTCCACATCATTGACACCTAGAACACGCTCCAGGCTTCCCTATTCACCACACCGCCATCCCTGAAGATTCTCCAAGCTTTAAGGCAAATGTGCACCGCCATCTTCGCCGTAGCCATTGGCTTTGGGCCACTGACTTTCTCTAAGAACAAATATCAGGATGCATATGTAGCGTTGGCACGCTGGTGACTTTCACAGCGTATGGCGTATAGCGTATCCCCGTACGTTACTGTATCCCCGTACGTTAGCGTATCCCCGTACGTTAGCGTATCCCCGTACATTAGCGTACGGAGTCTGCCTGTGTATAAAAGCTGCTGCTCACGATTCTTTTCATTGCCAGTTATAGTTACATTTCAAATGCCAGTTAATTTACCTTCATTTCAGTTCAGTTCAATTTTTAATAGACAACAGTGTGTTCACTGAGACCCTTGTGTATTCTTGCCTCCGAGAGACTGCGGCCCGCTACAAAATTGGTGGCAGCGGTGGGATTTGAACCCACGCCTCCGGAGAGACTCATACTCGAATCACGAGGACGTGCTTGTATTTGAGAGGGGAGGTGTAGCGTATAGCATGCATGTATAGCGTACGACGTATTTAGCGTATCCTCGTACGTTATCGTATCCCCGTACGTTAGCGTATTCCCGTACATTAGGGTGCGGAGTCTGCCTGTGTATAAAAGCTGCTGCTCACGATTCTTTTCATTGTCAGTTAAAGTTGCATTTCAGTTCAATGTTTAATAAAATAATAGTGTGTTCACTGACACCCTTGTGTATTTTTGCCTCTGAGAGACTGCGGCCCATTACACATACTTCCCAGTCTAGCATTTATGTGCTCCTGCCCTCTACCCCAGATCATGAATACATCTTTGCACTCGCATGCTCACATTTCACAATAGTTCCCTCTAGCTCCATTCTGTCTTCTCTCTTGTCACAATAATCCCCTCTCTATTTTGTCCTCTCCCTATAGTACAAACTCTCGCGGTATCGTCGAGACCACAGGTCGGCGCTGTTGGCTTGCCTCGTCAGCGCAGGTTCCTTCTTGGTATATACAGAAGCCTTGCTTGGTAGTTTAACATGTTTTTCGATTTTGACAGCATGTTACAAGGCGAGGACGCGTAGTGCTCCTGACTACAACCATAACCCGGTTGGCAGAGTCCCGGTCTTGCGACCATTTGAACCGTATTGGGAAAACCCAGGTTCGGACCCTCGTTACTCTACGGGTTGGTAGGATTTTTATACAACACAAAAAACGAAAATTATAAAAATCCTACCAACCCGTAGAGTAACGAGGGTCCGAACCTGGGTTTTCCCAATACGGTTCAAATCAGGGAGTAGTACAATACCGGGAGGTGACACGAGCACACATCCGGGATTACGAGCTTTGCCTCACAAAAAAAATACAAACCGCGCGAAAATTCAAATTTTTGCTCTTTTGACAGCGCTGAGAAACCTTCAAATAGTGACGAGAAGACCAGACGTATCCCTTCGTGACAAGCTGCCACTTGTTCTTTTCAGCTCGAGCCTTTTTTGGGAGCTACTCTGGTACATCGTCCACACTGCTGCCAAGTCTCCACTTCCCAAAATGGATGGAAGTGACGAATATGGAGGACGCTATCCTAGGTAAGTAACGTGATGGAATTTTCTCATCTTGACATGGTGTAACACGAACCTGAATTTCTCATTTGGACCCACTCGGACACCTCACCAAGTTGGGATATTTCGAAACTATACCTATTTGTCTACCATTCTACTTCATCTCAACGTGTTAGCTTATGTAACTCTTTGGAAAACTCATTCCGAAAATTTTGAAACTTATTTATTTGTATAGACTTGAACATAATGTTCAAGATCACTTGTTTTCAGCACTGAATGAGGCCAGGCCTGCTTGCTTTGTTGCTTTTTTAACCCCCAGAACCCGTGGACAGAAGAGGAAGAGCGACGACTTGGGTGCGGCTGCGAAGTCTGCCTGCCCAACGCCAATTGCTCCTCACCCAAAAAGTAAACAAATTATATAGCAGGAGTGGTTTCAAGTGGTTTCAATGCATTGTGTTTTTGGGATGTTGGTGTGTACTTATGCAGTCCTAGCGTGTTGAGCAATAGCAAAGCACTGCAACTATGCACCACCCCCCGTGGTACTTCACAACCGAGTTAGCCGCTTGATCCATGGTGCGGCGAGCAACCTCCATGTGCATAGGGTTGCTCAGAGCTGTGGCTGCTGACGCAGGCTTCCTATTCATAGTGAAATCAAGAAGAAGGGCAAATAGTGCACCGGACACTCTGACACCTGTACAAAACACCAATCCACGCACACACACACACACACACACACACACACACACACACACACACACACACACACACAAACACGCACTGTCTATGAAAAAAAACACTTCAAAGTACAATTTGGTACAATAAATCTCTACAGCGCAATAGGAACAGAAAATGACCAGTATGATGATGACATTACCTGTACTTGCAGAACTGGTGTCTAGCTCTTGGAAAATGGTTGACGAATTGCGAAGTAAATCAGTCCACACATTTGAGACATTCGTGCACTCTCCTCTCCTTAATTTTCCTAAGGCCTTGTTCTTGAAAAACAACGTCTGCTGCTGCTCACAATTTATTATTGCCTGCCGAAAGTGAACTATGAACAGCTCCACGTTTGCACGGTGCTTGTCCAGTGACCAGAGTTGCTGAGCTACTGCCACCTCATGTTGGCAGTAGCGTTGCATGTCCGAGTCCTTGCACAGATCTGGTGAGATGTAACCCAAAGAGAAATGAAAATGTGAATGACTGAAAGTCAACAAACTATACTCTGTTGAAGACACACTCTTACCTGCTGCCCATGTCAAAATACTGGACACACTGAAGGTATCCGGCTGAGGTACAATGGCTACTTGGCATACCTCGTCTGATTCCTCCTCGTCACTAGGAAAAACTAAAACATTTGTTGTCTCCATTGCACAGGCAAACTTCTTGGACAGGTTCTGGAAAACAAGAATGACTATGGTGATGTTGTGGCACCAAAACCTTTTGTCACTGGCAAATATACACCCACACACCTACACACACCCTCGTGTACTTGTACACCACACACGCACGCGCGCATACATACAACTATTCGTCTGTATCCTTTTGTGTTTGACATGATTCCACGGTGCCATGAAAGTAACATTGGTGCCATAAAAGTAACATTGGTTATAATCAAGGAGTAATGGTATTGTACGATTCTGATTGCGTATGCTCTTGGTGGCCATATATATCAGGAAGTAGTACAATACCGGTATTGTACTACTCCCTGATATATACTATAGTTCATCGTCACGCAGCTCCCCACAAAGTACAAATTGTAGTAAAAGCAATTACGTACTAATACCAAGAGTGTTTATGTACTCTTGCTAATACCAAGAGTACATAACCCCCCAGAGTGTGCAACGCCGATCCAGCTCTGTGTAGGGTCTTGGTCGAGCGGAATCGGATCTTCTGATGTCATGCGTACACTTCACACCAGCGCAAGGCCGGTCTCGAGGCAGGGCACCATTGTTTTTGATCCAAGAGTACCCGCGACTCCCCGGGTTCCCTTCAGATGTGTACGGTATTATGACGCAAAGATCCGATTCCGCTCGACCAAGACCCTATGCAGAGCTGGATCAGGCGTTGCACACTCTGGGGGGTTATGTACTCTTGCTAATACGTATAGTAATATGCAGACACATACAACTAGTAGTCACACAAAGTATCTATAATAAGCACACGTACTAGGAATAGTACGTAAGCAGGCTATCTTTATCCTTTTACGCTTGGTCTGATTACCTGCATACACGACTTACACGGCACGGTCTTCCACGGCATGGTCACTTGCACCAGTAACATTGTACATAATTCCACACTGCATTTATCATCAACACCAGTTCCTGTTAACGCGTAACATCTCAGGCTTTGTAGCAGGGAGTAGCACAGTGCCATTGTACCATTGTGCTACTCCCTGCTTGACACAGACTTGCGTCATAGTGACATTTGCGAATAGCTGCCCCTGCAGTATAAAATTTATTTTATTTTGTGTTTCTCTCTGACGACTATAGCATCTGGATTCGGAATAGCCTTACTATCTTGAGACGGGTCAGCCATACCTGAAACATGTTGTTCATTGTGACTAAAACTTGAGTCAACATTATCTATTCCCCTAGAAACGACGTGAATAACTAAATGTAATACAACTAAATGTAATACAAATTAAATTAGGAAGAAAATTTCACTCTTACAAGCCGCCCACGTAAATACTGGACACACTGAAGGTACCCGTGCGAAGGCCAGCTGCTACTTGATATCCTTCGTAGGATTCATCCTCATCACTCAGCAAAGACTGATGGATTCGTTCCCTACATCGTCAAAACAAACTTCAAAAAGTACTGCTCGAAAACTTCTTGACAGCATTCTGCCACTCTCTTCAAGTCGTTCTATGAATTTTTTTGAAAAATGCTACGAAATGCTACGATAAATGGTACGCGAAGTACGATATTTCGTGACGTTTCCCGGGACACAGCGCGCGAAGTACGATATTTCGTGACGTTTCCCGGGACACAGCGCTCCACAGAAAAGTGACCTGAGGCAAAGCTCGCCCGCCTGAATGTGTGGCCGTGTCACCTCCCGGTATTGTACTACTCCCTGGTTCAAATGGTCGCAAGACCGGGACTCTGCCAACCGGGTTATGGTTGTAGTCAGGAGCACTACGCGTCCTCGCCTTGTAACATGCTGTCAAAATCGAAAAACAGGTTCCTTCTTGCAGCCCCTACTCTTCCCATTGTAGTTCTGTCCTGCTACTTCTCTCCTTTCTTCTTACGTGTACTACCAAGAGTTCATAGCCCCGGGGGTTATGAACTCTTGGTACTCAGTCCGTGCGCCAGGCCACTGAGTGGACCGTTTTCATTTTCCTGCATGTACTGTACTAGCTTGTGTCTTTTATAATAGTAAAACAAAAAAATAATATAATACAGCTTGGTGGATGGTGCAAGGGGGTCAATTGATTCTGAATCCTGTCGGATGATGTCAGTCTAAGCATTGCCAAGTACAGTAGTATCATGTATGGTGAAATGAGCGGGAATAGCCAAAGCTTCGGGTTAGCAGCACAATGACCAGGGATTAGGTAGGAGGCTGGCATTTTGCTGAGCAGACAAGAGAAAGCGACCCTTGACCAGTGGAATACTGTATTGCTATTGGGCTCCTTTCGTCTCAGAGAGCATAGCTTATAGACGTCCATAAAAGGAGGAAGTGCGAGTAGTACATTGTGAAAGTACAATCATGTACATGTTGCAAGAATGATAATTATAATCCAAAACTGGTAACACCAAGAGTACATAAACCATGTACTCTTGGTAACACCAGTATTTATATAGATAAACCTTGTTGTAGTTCACGCAATTGTTAGATTGACAGCATGCTAGCATGAAACAAGACTAACCCCCTAGCATAACGGGGGTCAGAACCGGGTGCTATACCCATATGGTTCAAATGGTCCGCAGGGACCGGGCTCTGCCAACCGCGGAAGGTTGTTATGTAGTTAGGTCACTGTTTTCGAACACAGTGTCCTCATCCTTGTTTCATGCTGTCAATCTAACAAGTTTTATGTAGCAAGAAGCAAGAGTAGATCTACTCTGGCAAGAAGGCAGATTTCAGGAAACATCACAGCAGATCTGAGCTGAGTAGGTATTTTACTACTCAATTCTGATCTGCGCTAGCGCTGCGGACACGGAGTTCAGGGTTCAGACACAGAGCAGACCGCGTACCGCGCCGATGCCCGTACAACATAACATGCGACGTGTTCACGCTCACGACACGGCACTAGTCGGTAGCGCGGCCTCGTGCGCGTGGGCACGTGGATATCTATACGGTAAGGTACGGTTTACACGAGGACGAGGTACGGCCCGCACTGCAGTACTGCCGGCCGCAGATATATCTGTACGTGATTTAGGACGCTGATCGCGCTGAGCCAGCTTGGTGGTCATTTTTGGATTATTTTCATTTCCGTCTTGATTGAGTGTTGAGAACAAAATGCGACATTTCTGGTGAAGGTTGCAACAATCTATTTTATCAACGGAAATTCCAACCTCAGTACATATGTAACGTAATTGTCACCGGAGTAGAGAGATTTTTCGTTTCGTTTATGATAGGATTGGACAGGTGAGCGATGTCGCAGGCCGGGGAAGAGCGCCTCCAGCCGGCCGAAATCACCGTAATCGGTACGTGCTAGATGACGACGAAGTGATGTTGCTACACTGTATGTGACGCCTACGATGGCACTTTGATTCTCGCATGGCCTGCAGCCAACCGTGTGCATGTCAACTATTACATAGAGTAATACCCATGCGAATGATACCTGCCAAATGTTTGTCTTGCAAAAATCGGATATACAAGACTAGTACAATCAAGAGTACAAAAACTGTTTATGGACTCTTGGTACAGTGTAGAGGCTATGACATGAAATGTGTCCGAATACCGTGCTGCTCAATGAAATCCAACCGAGTGAGCCAGGTTTGCGGCCTGCACCAGTGAACATCCAGTGTTCACAGGCCTGGGGCAGTGTGACATTGCACTGCTTGATCGGATTTCACTGAGCAGGACTGTGATCATAACAATCGTCTGTTCTCAGGCACTGGAACGATTGTGTGTGTTTCTACACTGAGTGTTGATTTCTCTTGTTGTCTTCCTTGCTTGTCCTGTGTTCACGCACGCGTACACACACGCACACACCGTGTCGACTGTGCTATGCATGGCTCATCGATTGCTGTGTATCGAATGCGTCATTGGAATCATCATGGGTTGTTGATGATGATGATGTTGAACAGTATCGTCAGCCAGTGGCTTACCAACTGGGAAAAGTGGTACGTGTTCAATTTCCACTTCTTCTTGTGTGTTCGAATTGTTATCATTATTATTGCAAATAACGCTGAGTAACTACACGATGTATCAAAACCAGCATTTGCTTTTTGGAAGGATTCACAAACACAAACAAACACCATGGCTCAATGTAACTGCACATGCTTTGGAAAGCTGCTTCTATTGTCAAGTGCGAGTGGCAATGTCAGAAAGACGGTAGACTGTGTTTGAATAGCTAGATGTTAACCTATTGTAGTGTGTGGTCAGCCCCATCCAGTGATGATCTCACACTACATCATTAATGCGCAATGTAAACCACCTGTTTAGCAACCATCAGAGGTGTCGACATGCATATTACTATGGCCACATGCACACACACGGATGCACGTGTGCGTATATGCACATGCACACCCAAACATATATGTATACACACACACACACACACACACACACACACACACACACACACACACACACACACACACACACACACACACACACACATACACGTACACGTACACACTAGTAAAATATGTCTTACTCCAATCTTCTATGTCACGGAATCCATCTCTTCAATCAAGAAATAGAAGCATACAACCTTACAAGGCAAAACAATCAGTTTCAGTTCACGGAAAGTACAGATACAGAGAGAAAGAGAGACTGAGAGACGAGAGACACACACACACCACACAGAGGGTGAGAGAGACAGAATGAGAGAGAGAGAGAGAGAGAGAGAGAGAGAGAGAGAGACAGGGAGGGAGAGACAGACAGACAGACAGACAGACAAACAGACAGAATTCTGACATCTATGCTACATTCCAGCTGACAGTAAGCATGTGTAGATGATGTGCAGATTATGGAGCAGCTAACACGTGCAACAGGCTCTGTCGCTTCAAATATCGACCGTTTAGGTCTAGTTATTTCGATTCTGCACCTCTTGGAAGCCACCCCCGGCACCAGTGGTGATGTTGCACCCGGGTCACCTTTTCGAGATGCTGTTTATATTTTGTAAAAGTAACATAAATAGCCAGGCGTGTACTGTCTTGGACATTGAAATCCAGTCGATTGACCGGGGCTGGCGCCTTCAGTGCGTACAGAACAGTGCACATGTTGATCCGATGCGACCAGCGCTGCAGCGCGTAATATAATGTCATGCATGTGTGTACTGCTTATCCACGGCTGCATGGCCAGCACCCTGGGGCCGCTAGACGTGCGACCGGATTTCCATGTCCACGGCAGTACTTGCTGAAACCAACATGAAAGCCAGGCATCTATACAAGTCAGTCTTAGTGTAACCTGTGTGTGCGTGTGTGTGTGCGCGCGTGTTTGCTTCTCGTGTCAGGTCGATGTAGAGCCTCTGTAATATTCGGTGTGGGCAAGACCAAGTTTCGCACTCAACAAATCGACAACGCTAACCCAGTGTGGAATGAGAGATCTATTGTGTAAGTTGTCTTCTCAGTGCCCTTCTGTCTGTCTATCTGTTTGTCCATCCGTCTATTTATCTGTCCGTCTGTCCATGCTTGTGTATGTGTGTGTCTCCGTCTCAGTAGTAGTCTCTATCGTCCTCCCTCTCTTACTGTCCATGTGTCTGCATCCTTTATTTGCAGTTCTGATGCTGTGTGTGTGTGTGTTTGTGTGTGTGTGTGTGTGTGTGTGTGTGTGTGTGTGTGTGTGTGTGTGTGTGTGTGTGTGCGTATGTGTTTGTGTGCGCGTGTTTGTTTGTGTGTGTGTGTGTGTGTGTTTGTTTGTCTGTGTGGGTGTGTGTGGGTGTGTTTGTGTGGGTGTTTGTCTGTGTGTTTGTCTGTGTGTGTGTGTGTGTGTGTGTGTGTGTTTGTGCGTGTGTTTGTCTGTGTGTGTGTGTGTGTGTACTTTCTATTTGAAGTGTACATACCTGTTAACCATGGACTGCTTCTGGCTAGATTAACTCTTGTGTAATCAATGGTGCTAGTGAAGCTTTTATCAGGTCCACTCAGATTTAGCCACTCACACTAGTAGCAAGTATTACCTTCACTGGGGGCAGGGGTAACTGCAGTTGGATCCCGGAACGGATACCCTGATGCCGTCAATCCTTTTTCTGCACCTTGTCCTCACCCACTTACTGAGGTGTGGTGAGCCCATAAGTGGGATCATTTTCAAGTCCACCCAGAGTTTCGGGGATTTCAGGGGCTGTCGGCCGTTGGGCAGTTCAATAACCAATTGAGTCATCTTTCCAAGGTCCTTTTTGAGTCTCTCTCCCCTCTCCCGGGGAGACTCACGTGACCAGTTTTGGCAGTGAGCAACAAGTACAGTACAGTACAGTGTGTGTGTGTGTTTGTGTGTGTGTGTGTGTGTGTGTGTGTGTGTGTGTGTGTGTTTGCATGCATATTATGTGTGTGTGTGTGTGTGTGTGTGTGTGTGTGTGTGTGTGTGTGTGCGTGTGTGTGTATTCATATTGAATTATTCCAACCTGTTGGAAGGCCACCATCTTGCCCAAGCATTTGGAAGTTTGGACTAGTTTCGGCTCCACAATCCAGTGTGTCGTTACTATAATAGCTTTCATGGCTGAGGTTGTTGGTATGTCTGTTGGCTCTGGGTTCCCAGTACTCAGTAGCCGAGGCTGGTTGGTAAAGTAACTCCAATTTCACTTCAAGGTACCAGTGCATATAGTGTCTGCTTCTATCAAAGCAGCGTGCTGTCTATACTGGTTACCCCAGCAAGTGTAGGGTGTGCATAGGTAACTGTCTTGGCCGTTTTATGCCGATGTACTCCGTGTGGTGTAGACCAGGTGTGCATTGGTGGTCGATTCACATGGCTTCGCCAGTTGTGTGGGTTAGACAGTTATATGGCGCAAGTCTTGATATGTCTCATTCAGATCTTGTTCGCTATCGTTGCTATAAGAGAAAATCTGTGGGTGCACATCCAGTGCATTTGCGGATTTGTGTGCTTCTCTTGCGACGGGCGTATACATGGTACACGGTACATGGTATTCATATGCTGTGCATATTCATTTGCTGCACTGCATTCCTATGTTTGTGTGTTTGTATGCCGTGTGCTTGACACCTGCAGGCCAGTGAGTGAGACAGACTCCAGTCCACTTGTATTCACAGTGACCAGAAAGGAGCGTCCCCTCGGCGAGGTCTCAATACCCCTGGCAAAGGTACGCACCGTCGTTTTCCAGGGTTTCTTAGTTTGGGTGTCCTGCAAGTGCATTGCAAATACTGTACTAACAACAAGAAGCTGGAGCATCGAGCACTCTACTGCGCAGCCTGAAACCTTTCCGTTTCACATGGCGAATGTACTCTATAAGCGGAAAGTTTAACTAGCAAAAAGTAACATTTTTAAAATTAAAGGGGACGTATACCCTAAAATCAAATTTTCACCAGTTGTAGTCTTCGGGGTGCTGAGCCGAATGGTCTTGGTCCGAGGACGCTGAGACGCTCCCTTCCTCCTTTATTCCCAATCGAACTCGCGCACTTCCACCGGAACTGGGTGACTGCGCCCTACTACATGTAGATAGGGATTTGTATGCAAAAGTCACTAAAAACGCCGTTTCGTTCTTATAAAAGCGCGGATGACCGCGATTGGTCCATATGTTGTAGTCTTTTGGCTGCTGAGTCGACTGGTTTTGGTCCGAAAAGGCTGCGATGCAGTGTTCGGCCCATATTCCCAATCGAACACGGTTGACTAAGCGGTCACGTGCTCATTTACAGCCTGTTTGGGCCCGTTTATGTCACTCGAGTTGAACCTTTGAACCAGGGAGTCGTAAAGGCCTCTTACGACTCCCTGCTTTGAACCTTTGAGTTGAACCTTGATGTGAAAATTGTGGCCTGCAGCCATGGTGACCAGGCGACTGGTGTACGCATGAGCACGTGACCGCTTACTCAACTGTGTTCGATTATGTCACTCGAGTTGAACCTTTGAACCAGGGAGTCGTACAAGCCTCTTACGACTCCCTGCTTTGAACCTTTGAGTTGAACCTTGATGTGAAAATTGTGGCCTGCAGCCATGGTGACCAAGCGACTGGTGTACGCATGAGCATGTGACCGCTTACTCAACTGTGTTCGATTGGGAATAAGGGCCGAACGCTGCATCGCAGCCTTTTCGGACCAAAACCAGTCGACTCAGCGGCCAAAAGACTACAACATATGGACCAATCGCGGTCATCCGTGCTTTTATAAGAACGAAACGGCGTTTTTAGTGACTTTTTGCATACAAATCCCCATCTAGTAGGGCACAGTCACCCAATTTCGGTGGAAGTGCGCGAGTTCGATTGGGAATAAAGGAGGAAGGGAGCGTCTCAGCGTCCTCGGACCAAGACCATTCGACTCAGCACCCCGAAGACAACAGGTGAAAATTTGATTTTAGGGTGTACTTCCCCTGATAACGTGCAGAAAGTTTAACGACGGCTACCTGGCCACCCATCTACATGCGCATCTTTACACAGATATCTCAAACCTGGATCGGGATAAAGTTTCTACAAATGACGGAAATAATTGGTCGTTAAAACATAGACTTTGTGACTCGTTAGACTTTCCAGTTTTACAGTGCCGGTGCTGCTGCTGCTGCTGCTGCTGCTGGTGATGCTAGTGCTGCTGTAGCTGCTGCTGGTGGTGCTGCTGGTGGTTCTGCTTCTGCTGCTGCTGGTGAATCTGGTTGTGAGTGTTGTTGCTGTTGTGGCTGTTGTTACTCCTGCACAGGTTCCGCTGAAGTGCACCAAGCCGACCACCATAACGCTGGCAGCATGTCGCGACTGTCCTTCACCAACGGGTCAACTGTCGTACGAGTGCTGGGTCACCAAGCATTACCCGGGCAAATCACCGTCTCTTCTCGGTGCGAGCAACAACAATCTTGGTGACGGCATGGGCAATGTCGGCGAGATCAAGCGCAGCAAATCCATGAAGAACCGCGTTGGCTCTTCGCTGCGTAGCAGTCTGCGGCGCGGCAGTGAGGGGCAGAAGGTACTTTAGAACATGTTATTTTCGATGTAACTTTATTTTCACTGATTTCGGTAGAGAAACCAGGCACCTAAATTTGACTTACACCTGAAAGGCACTAGAATATGCACTGTATATGTATGTGAAGGGAATGTTGGTCACCTAATTCTAAATTACACTCGAAACCTGTTAGGTCCCTGGCACCGAAATTTTAATGCACCTAAAATTACACGAAGTTGATTGTTCCAACTAGGAACACACGCTTCTTGCCGAACTTGACACTTGACTGACTCATGACTGCCATCCGGAGCACACGAGGAGCATGTTGCACCTTCCTCTCGGCAAACCTGCAAGAAAGCACCACTCCCTGCTCAATACACAGTGTTTCGGGGAATTCACCCCTCATCAGTTGAGCTTGAGTAGGCTGAGGAAGATTGTGCCTGAAAAGCACCACTTATATACTGCTCTCCAGGCCAAACCATCACCAGGTGTACAAACTTACAGAGACGCTTTGTTTCCAGCGCGACAAACACCTCGTGAAGCCCCAGGTAGCAGCGTGAGTCAGAGTCGCTCATGGAGTTGTGCTAAACAGACGTTGAGAGCCAGTATAGCTATTCACAACGCTGTCACCTCCAACAACTAGTCGCACGTCCGCGTGAGGGACAACAATACGAACTTAGAAGTTGCGACTTTGGCTTCCCCGAACACTGTGTATTGAGCAGGGAGTGGTGCTTTCTTGCAGGTTTGCCGAGAGGAAGGTGCGACATACTCCTCGTGTGCTCCGGATGGCAGTCGTGAGTCAGTCAAGTGTCAAGTTCGGCAAGAAGCGTGTGTTCCTAGTTGGAACAATCAACTTCATGACTATTACCGCCGAAGTCGCAGGCATAGGGGAGGGGGAAGGGGGGGGGGGGGAGGGTGTCTTGAAATTGTCACTGCGCTTAGCCTCTGCACTGGCAAGATACCACGTCTGATGGGCCTGGATTCACCAATAACTCTCTCTCTCTCTCTCTCTCTCTCTCTCTCTCTCTCTCTCTCTCTCTCTCTCTCTCTCTCTCTCTCTCTCTCTCTCTCTCTCTCTCTCTCTCTCTCTCTCTCTCTCTCTCTTCTCTCTCTCTCTCTGTCTCTGTCTCTCTCTCCTCTCTCTCTTCTCTGTCTCTCTCTCTCTCTGTCTTCTCTCTCTGTCTCTCTGTCTCTCTCTCTCTCTCTCTCTCTCTCTCTCTCTCTCTCTCTCTCTCTCTCTCTCTCTCTCTCTCTCTCTCCTCTCTCTCTCTCTCTCTCTCTCTCTCTCTCTCTCTCTCTCTCTCTCTCTCTGTCTCTCTCTGTCTTCTCTCTCTGTCTCTCTCTGTCTCTCTCCGTCTGTGTGTGTGTGTGTGTGTGTGTGTCTCTCCCTCTCTCTCTCTCTCTCTCTCTCTCTCTCTCTCTCTCTCTCTCTCTCTCTCTCTCTCTCTCTCTCTCTCTCTCTCTCTCTCTCTCTCTCTCTCTCTCTCTCTCTCTCTCTCTCTCTCTCTCTCTCTCTCTCTCTCTCTCTCTCTCTCCCCTCTCACTCACTCTCTCTCTTTTCTCTCTCTCTCTCTCTCTCTCTCTCTCTCTCTCTCTCTCCTCTCTCTCTCTCTCTTTATCGTTCTCGTTCTCGTTCTCACTACATTCCACGTGTTCCATTCTATCTATGTTACGTGTTTTCCCCGTAGACTCTCGATCCAAATGGGCTGAGGTCAGCGGGCAAGACTTCACCCACATTGGCATCATCGGCTGAGGATGTTACACGTCAGCCTGCACGCCTTCAGGGTGAGGTGGCAGCCAGTTCGTCCGTGCCCTGTACTCCAGAAGTGCCCAAATCCTTGCTATCACCCAATGGCACGCCGGTAGAGACGAGAACGCCTCCCAAGCGACGCTTCAGCTTTGTCAGGAGCGACGATCCAAAGAGCGCCGGTACCACCAGTCCTCAAGGCATGGCAAAATCCCAGTCCTCCACCGCCGTACCCCTTAAAGAAGCCGAGCCGTGAGTTCTCATATTACAGCCGGGTGCATGCAGTAGGCCTGCCACAAGGGTGGCGGTGTGTGTGTGGGGGGGGGGGGGGGCTTCTATGTTCAGGATGCAATCAGGCGCGTGGCCCGGATGGGGCACGGGGTACGTGCATCCCCCTAAAAAATTGGACCTGGGTTTAGCATGCCCATAATAGGAACGAACAGGCCAGAGTTTCACCAAGCCCAGCATGCCAATGTATACAGGTCTACTCTCCATATAACGTAATCTCTGGGACCACGCGAAAATTATGTTTTATCGAGAGTTAAGCTGTGTTCCCAACTGGCGCGTGGACGCGGTACGCTTGCGGTTCATACGTGGCCAAACGCGCACGCTCAGGCTTTCACAAAAAACAGCAATTCGACTCGTATTTAGGGCGTGTGGCGCCTTCGAGTACTAATGTTTTGACCCCGCCAGTGAAAGTGACTGGCATGTACGCTGGTACGCGCCTGATACGTGCTGAAAATTCCAACATGTTCGAATTTTCATTTGGGCGCGTTTGCGTACGCATGGCGCCCCAAAAGCCAGCAAAAATGCGCACAAACGCGTGGTTCCACGCGTACGCGCGCCAGTTGTGAACACAGCTTTACGGTATGTAGAAAACCGCGTGTAAAATACAAGATGCACCTCAAAATGAAGGGTATTACAAGGCGAGTTCAACCGTGCAGACATTAGACACACTATGCCACCATTGACAGGGAATAATTTAACCGGCATTGTATCGCAGTTTGCTACGTCATTCTTCTGAGGTGCGAAGCAACTTCAGAAATGTGTCGCAGAAAACTGCGATGTATGTTGATTTTTCACTGTACCCTATGATGCACAGTGTACATGCCGGGTGTGTCTCTTACGGATAAAATAGATGCCCGAAACTTCGAAAGTGCTGAGCTAGGCATCCTGGCACCAGGCTAGGTTTGCAACTAAGGTGTTACAGTGTACTTGTGGTCTGAGCTTGCACTCTGATCAGCTCTCCAGAAAGACAATGTTGTCAAGTGTTGAAGAAAATTGTTACACAACATATTTGAATTGCTAATCAAGTTTGATTTTATGTAGCAAAATCACTATGCAAAAGATTGTAAGTAAATTATTCCCTGATTGACGTCAGATACCATCAATGCCGCAGAATATATTATGCACAATAGGACTAAACTGGCTAGCTACGGCTACAGCTTGATTGTACCGCACACTTGAATCTACGTTGTATCGAGAGTGCGCACATCGGGGACCGCGCCGTAGGGTGCGTTATGCCGAGGTTTACGTTATTTAGGACTAAACTGGCCTAAACTGCTTAGCTACAGCTACCGCTTGATCGTACCGTGCACGTGAATTTACGTTGTATCGAGAGTGCGCACGTCGGGGACCGCGCCGTAGCGTGTGTTATGTCAAGGTTTATGCTACTTCCTCCGCGTCATTAAAATTGTCGCTTCGCACATCGCAATATTTGTGACTTGGCTCGTCTTAGACTGTCGGAATCGCTGTTTTCTGCGTTCGAACACTGGTGCGACCCTTCCTGCGCAATGTCTGCTTGTTACTGAAGCCGTGGTGGTCTCTGACTTTGTCGGGGCTCTCTTCCGCACCAAGCAATTTCATTGCGCTCCGCACTATTCGGTCCCAGAGCGCATTTCGTTTTCTGGAGTTCGTGCCGTCCCACATCGATCACGTGGGCATTTATCATTCCTGCAAGCTCGGGAATAAGAATCCTGGTATCTCTCCTGAATACGAAATGCTGAAGTTGACGATGGCAAGAACAAAGTGGTCTCAAATTCCTAAAATGCGCTACTTGTGGCGCATGTTGCTGCGATGGTAGCAGGTCTGAAAACACCAACAAAATCAGCGAAGCGCTTGCCAAGGAAAGAAGGTGCGGAACTGCTTACCCTATCCAGCTGGAAGGTCGCTACAGGGTACTTGAAAAAATGCTAGCTTTCTCTCATCGCCTGCCACCTGGAGGCATGGATCGCTTGAAAACGAAGTTTCTTGTCCTAAATTTGAACGCGCGTCTTCTTCAGCGTATTGTTGAGTGCTGAAGGGTCTGCCTCAAACTCTGATGAAGAGGTCGACCTAAGCTGCAAGTGCAGCGAAGCGGGAGGCCACAAACTAAAACTTGGTCCGTCGACAATGCTCTGCTTCAATTTCTAGCTGATTTCTTTGCCCTTCGAGTGGACAAAATAAATTCGAAAAATCGCTCTGGGAAGCGACAATTTTAATGACGCGGAGGAAGTATGTAGAATTACGTTGTCCAGAACAAAATTTGTATGGGAGTGATGCTGTTTCGGCGCGGGATTTGATTTCTTTTCGTACTAGCGAGGTTTATGTACAAGTGAGAGTTGTTATATCGAGAGCAGACCTGTACACGGTGTCTCAACGGTGCATAGACTGTAATACATGAGAAACAAGAACGAGTTCGGCGACGAGGCTGGCCCCCACCAGTTCTTCGGCAGCCGACGACAGTACTGTACGAGTGTAGACTGTTCGTTCTCAGTGTGTCTTGTGTCTAATTTTCATCATAGCCTAGGAGCTGTGGCATCATTCGTGATCCACAGCAAGAAGGCAGCAGTGCCTGTACCCAGGGTGAAGTAGAATAAAGACAACATAACATAATTTGAAACTCGGATGTTGAGCCAATACTAAATGTAGAAAGGAAAAGGACATAATATGGATACGAGTTAAGAGTAACTCTCCACCACTAGTTGTTGCACTTTCTGACTGTTTATCTCTTAATTTGCTAAATCCTATATATATAGGATTTTCCCGTTTGTCTCTTTCCCTCAAACTAGTGAAGATATAGGATTTTGGTCATATTTTTCAACTCAAAATGGGCGTGGCAAAAGTATGTGACCAATTCTTCCTTGCTAGGTCTTAGTAGATATCGAGAGTTGAACAAGATAATTTTTTCAAACACTAACATCTCAGGCTCATCTCCTTGCCCAATATTACTAAGGCCTGTGCCCTATTTTTCGAATCCTATAATAGGCTATATACAGGATTTGAGATTTTATTGGACCTTGTTTTATCCTTAAAACTGGTAGTTTCATGACAGCATGTGCGATATGTCATCATGAAACCACCCTGTGCCACACCTGCAATGTTCTTCTGCACATTCACTGCTTCAGTCCTTTCCATGACAGCAGCTGAAAAATTATGCTCAAATTTCCAATTCTTGCTGAAAATGGGTATTCATCAGAAATATTATTGCCCTATGAATCTAAAATGTAAACATTCATGCCTCAAACATATTTACAACTTCCATGAAAACCATTATGCCGTTATTGTTGGTCGTGATGACTAATAACAACGGCATAAAAGGCACACATTTTCACTCACCCCTATTCCTAACTCGTATCCATATGTCCTTTTCCTTTCGACATATAACATAATATAACGTAATGGTTCTGGTTGTTCATGTTCTGCAGGACACCAAAAGTAACCGGCATTAGCCCCAGAGACGGGAGTAAAGTCGGTGGGACAGTATTAACAGTACGTGGTGAGAACCTGGGCACATCGGCGGATGACATCGAGGCCGTGACGGTGTGTGGTGTGCCCTGCAATCTCGAAGACCTGGATTACGTGTCGGCCAGGAAGCTAGTCTGC